TGACAGTAACTAACGCATTTACAATTTGATAACTTTCGAGATATTGGTACTTAAAGTTTTATTTTTTGACAAATATCAATACGGTTGATTTTGCTTAATAAAAATATAACTGAAACTAAATAAGATTTAAAAAAACGCCTCATAGGGGTTAAAGATTTCGTTTCGCTTATTCCATGTCGTCGGGCATAGTGCAATTACGCGTAACTAGCAATTGATTATGAGTTTTCGGATAGTGGCCAAATCAAATCCGTGTAAATGTCGTGGCAACCAAATTAGCGTGAATTACGGGAATATATTGTTATAAGTCCGTAGGTAACATAAATTAATGCTTACTGTGCAAAAATGAAAATCATAGCCATTGAAATAACAAAGTAATAACGTTAAATCCCTATTCTGTGAAATTTGGTTTGGTGCATAAACGCGCCTTTTACCAATACCACATACGCGGATTTGCACTATCCCCGACGATATGTTAATAATTCAATTTCGCTAAAAACGTCATTAACGTTAGATATGATAAGGAGGCAAGAAATTTATTGTTGAAGGAATTAGGAGACGGTAAACTTAGCTCACATTGGTTTATTGACCCAATTACATATTTATTTTAAATTATAAAAGAAAAGATGAATAAAGAAAGTGCTGAATTCAATCGTTATTCTCTTAAACATTGGCAGTCATTAATTTTACCTGTTGAAACCTCTCGACGTTTGATTTAGAGCTATTTGTTCATGTCGACCTATTGTTTGGCACATTTGAAAACTATGCTGTTCACTTCCTGCGTTCGGTCACGACATACTTCTAATTTGTTACGAAGCATGCATAATGAGTGCTGTCGAGGCCTGGTAATTATGTGTTAAAAATTAAATTTTTCAATATCGTTGCTTAACTTGTATCCAATATTTGAAACCATGCAATGATCGCATTTACTAGCGTTTTACTCCAATCCACCAAAACTCATTTTTGAACGTCTTAAGTCGTATTTACCTTGTTCTTGTTATGTTCTACACAAAACAAAATGAAAACTTCATATTTTGTAAATAATACCTATGCATACCTTACCTATACTTTTTTTGCTGGCCGATTCACATTATCTTAGTAAATTATGTGATAAAATTTAACAATCACCACTTGGATCTCTCCACAAGTTCAGTTTGAAACTAGAACTTTTACAAGAAGTAAATAATGCGTAAAATTTTTAATTGAAAACCTAAAGATATTACAAATGAAACCTATTTAAAATGCCTAACGTTGATTAGATGGAAAAAATACTCGAACAGATGAAATAAAACACAACAAAAACAGGCAAGTCAATATAAATAAGTAACACTCATACTTAGTAGAGTTAAACAATCTACACAAATTTGTCGAATAAGATTTTTTTACAAACTATCTGGCAATTTGTAAGACTCCGGTGGAAACGTTGACGTACTCGTAGAAGATAACGTCAACGTTTCATTCCATATCAATTTCTTAGATCTCTCCTTCTTTCCAAATATTAAATAATACTTTGTTGTTACTAAATCAGGTGTAACAAGAGGAAAGACGAGTCTAAAAATAACAGTTACCTTTCTAAACAAGGAGGCCTTGCTGCCAGTTAGTTACCTCGTACCTTGCATTTACTGTTAACAGCTGTGTTTCCTGTGCGAGTCGTGAAATTTAAAATGACAGGGTAATGTTGCTCTAACGACAGGCTTACAGAATTAAAGGTCAGCAATTCCCTGACCACCCGGATTGACAACAGTGGACTCGATTGGACGTCTGTAACGACGTATTTTATGATTAGAACGCGACGCGTTTTATGACTATATGCTTATGACAGAATTGTTTTTGACAAGATTTAGGAGCTTATTCAATAAATCAATTACGTCATTTAATTTCTAGCTTTGTGATAGGTTATATTTGTCAATACAATTTTTAGATCTAGATGTTTGTGGAATGTAAAAGGTGCAATTGTGCAATTATAAATTGTCTCAAATTCATAACAGATGACGTCATCAAACTGATACCCTTTTAATGACGTTAATAATACGCTATTAGCTTCAATAACGGCTACATAAGCAAATCATTATTTATCCTTTTAATGCAAATACAATAGGAAAAGCGCTCAATAAATATTATTACATGCTTCCCGGCCTAAGCAAGCATGCGCCTAGTTTTGTATGAAAAACGTGTTTAGATATATGGTCATATAGATATATAACGCTAAATTTGATTTTGTTATTTTCATTACAATGTATACTGGGCGTTTACTTAATCATAGGAATAATATTTTCTGGGTCTGAATCACTTCACAATTATTATGTACATTTTGATGTACACGGGGCCTTAGGAGTTTATAAAGTGTTGTTACATGAAGAAAAGACAAATGTGTAAAGGTTCAGCTCTACTGCTAATATAATGTCCTGTAATTAGGAAATATAATATATCAATAATTTATTTACTTTAAATAGGTACGTTGTAAATGTTGGTGTTAAAATTAAAATGAAAAATTTTATCCTTACAAATATTCACAATTAGCTGAAATAAGATACATTGTAATTTAAAGATTGATGTATATGGAACTAGCTGGGGCACGCAACTATGGCTGCGTAGAATATGTACTTCGAGTAGCCTACTATACTGTACTAATTTTCAAAGTTTTATCGGTTCTCCATATAAACTTTTATTCCTTATTTCACCCTCTTTAAGATTTATTTTTGTGACAAGACGTCCCATATATCTCTGTTCTGTAATTTTACTGTAATATTTCAATTTTTAGTTTTTAAGGTTAATTTTTTTCAATTTTATCAAGTTTTAATTTTGAATGTATTTTATTTTATTACATTTTTAAATATTGAATTGTAAACTGACATAGTACCTAAGGTTTCTGTAAAACTAACAAGTGGACCTATATTGTCTTAAATAAAAAAACTATTATTATTATACCAAAATTCATCCAAATTAATGCAGCGGCTTAGGCGTGAAAACATAAGACAGGCTGGTTTCGCATTTATATTAATTTGGATAATGCACAAAGATAATGGAAAACATTCCTAGTGGTCTAGTGCCAAATAATACTAATAACGCCAATAATGTTCAGGAATTATGTTTTGTAACCGCAGTAGTGCATGCATTCATAACATTGCAAAAAAATACAACCAAAAGCCAAATTTTGTATATTACAGCTTTCGAAACTTCGCTCATCATGTTCAAACTTCGAAACTGGCTGTGTCACTAGTTCATTAATATGTATAATGGATAAAAAATTACTTAACAGGAGCAATTATTTTTTTCAGTTTTAATTTTTTCCCCACAGCTATGCTTTTTATAACTTAGTAGGATACCGTTACTTTGCAATTACTTAAGAAGTACCACTGTTTAGAGAACTTCATCTTTATTTTGAGTTCAGTTTAAAACAAGTTTTCTAAAATCAACGATGCCGCTCTTTAACTTACCTGTAGATTGTACTAAATTTGTCACCGGCTCATGGAAAGTTTCGATTTAAAAGCCTTTTTAATTATCAAACTGGTTCAAGTGCCTCAGCTCAAACGCACTGATATTATACATTAACGAGAAACTCATAAAATAACTGAATATGGACAACAATAACGGTAAAACTAAAAATATTGCTTGTAACCCAAAAAGGTTGATTGGTTCCTTTTTCACTCTTTTTAAATGTCTTTAAAAGTCCAAAAATGTCAATCAATACCAGCTTTATACAATTAGCTTAATTTCTTAAGATCTGACTCTTTAGTGGAAATGGTTAAGTAATTGATGTCGACACCAAACAATTTTGTATTTGTCTGTTGCAAAAGATTTTATTATATAACATGAAATATCGTCTTTGTATTACAAAATGCAATTACAATATCGAGATGTTGCAAATTTGTATAAATTTCGCATCAATTAATTCGATTCCTCTCAACTCTTTGACATTAACGTGATAGCGAACTAACTTCTATATATCGTGTAAACCGATAGAGTCGATTGAGATTCCCTTCACCCTTTTATGGAGTACTTAATGTTTGCGGCGTAGAAGATTGTTTTACATTCACCGTAAATTTATTAGATTTGTTATACTCTTCGTTGGGGAATGCTATCTATTTGGTTAACATGTACGAAGTTATTGCTTCCAAGACATTAACTTTCCAGGTTGCATTCCTGGTTTTGAATTACTATTATATTTCAATATTGAACTTCTAATATAGAACGTAAGTTTGTAGAGAATTTCCCAAGATTACGACAAAATTGCGTTTATTTACGTATTTAACACAATCAGTCAGTAAGCACAGGTGTTAAACGGTAGCCAACTGACACAGTAACCTAGCAAAAGTTTTTTTTTTAATGACGAAACAAAAGTTTGTTTTGTATGATGAATGCAAGAACTGTATTCACGGTCATTGGCACATTGAGAGCAAAATTTTGGAAAGTTTAGCGTAGGTTGCTATAATTGCTGTTTATTTTTGTAATTTAATTTTATATTTTACAAGCGTTTCTTTGAAACCTAAATACATAAATACTTATGCGTATACATATTGCAAATATGACATGCGTTTATTTTACATTTGTGAGATGTTGGTTTTTTAATGAAGAAGTCTTTCACTTTTGACGGTAAGATGTTTGTAATGTTTACTAACTTCCACTTTATAAAAATAATAATGCGTGATTAGGGCCTCCACTGGGATAATTCCAATTGTTTAGTCCACGAACTGGTTAATTCCAATCAGACTTGCTAACACAAGACTTAGCGTGTCGCTTCCATCACAAATGTAGAAAGGTTTAATAGGGCAGGTATCGTTCGCCAGTTCTTCAAATTGATCCTGACCGACAGCACCATTAAAAACAAAATCTTTTAGGCTATGGAAGAGATGAAAATCTAAAACAGAGACCAAAATTTAAAATATTAATATTTACCATTTTACATCAAATTAGCCTCTAACCTACTACTATTAAGTTGAAGGGCCACGTACGTTCATTGTGCAATTCGTGGCGCCTGTGAATGGAGGCTTCGGCGGGTGCGTGGGCGGCTTTTTATCAATGAACGAATTTCTGGCGTACGCACGCCGCACGCCTCGCGCGTCGCCGTGTCACGGCCGAGCTCCCGATCTCTCGCACTAATGGAAAATGTCACTAAACAGTTTGAATATGCAATCAAGATACGTGAACATACATATGTATGCAAAACACAAGTTGCGAGGCTACCGGTTAGACGAGGTTGCAGTTAGTGCTGTTTGTTTTTACTGTGCTGACCAACGTTCTGTTTTCGTTTGGAATGGACCCGAAATTCTTCTAAGAAGGCATCGGGGTAGAGCTGAAATCTTTTTTAAAGCGATTAGAGTTTCATGTATTTTCGGAAATGTACCCAGTGCTAATTAACTACTTGCTTCCATGTGGTTCAGAAAGATTCAGAGCACATATGTCCCATCAAGGATGGCACATGTAACCCTGGTATTACAGGGCTATCTCTGCTCTCAATAACATAGCTAACAGTGTATAAACTAATATGCAAAATACATTTTACGAGTCTGGTTGTTAGATGAGGTAGCGGTTATTGCAATTTAATCTAGGATTCAAGGCTTGTCACATTCTAAGCAACAAATTAGGTGAATGGTCATTATAGTTATACGTAGCTAGAACTTAATTGCGCCGCGCAAGTTATTTTGACGACCTTCTATGATGTTTCAATGCTGTGTAGTTACCTGCAATAAAATATTTTGCATAAGTAAAATTACACAAAACCGTTAATATATATGAACTACGTTTGCATTAACATGTGTGAATTTGTAATTTAGGTACCCAATTTTACCCATTTAATTTAGACCTGGTTCCAATTTTTCACCTGTTCATAAATTAATGAAATTATTCCTATGAACGTTCCGTCAATAAAATTTTATTGCTATTATAAAAATACTTAGATCTGAAATGATTAATGTAAAATCATTTTGAAACTAAATAATTAATATAATACGTAATTGCTTTAGCAGTAAAGTCTACAGACAGCCTTCGTTCAAATTTAACAGTAACGATTATTGAATCGATCGCTCTTGTAGCGATCGGGAACTTTCTTCATCAAGAAAGAAAATTCCACGTACGTCTTCAAGAAAGGACACAGCGTGTCGGTATAATATTATCAGAAATTTGTTGATCTTGATAGCAAGGCAATTAAAGGAAGTATTACAAATAACTTTAAAGTTTGAAGTGATAGTGAACATCGTAAGTGACGGGACAAACAAGTCGTGTACCTCGTGGTGGGCGACACGCCTATCCATAATAGTTGCTGTGCCATTCAGAGTTTTAAATCGCAAAGATCTTAGGGGTACTGTCATTGCTCCCGTCATCCTGAGACATAGTCGACAAGGCCTGTGCTTGTAAATTCACCAGCACCCTTCTTACACTTTTAAACCGGAACGTAGTAATACTCACATTACTGCTTGGCGGCAGAAATAGTTAAGATGGCAGAATTTCCCTGGACGAACACTTTCACAAGGAAGGGAAGGAACTCTACTTGCTAGTAAACAATTAATGTGCTTATAAATATACGTAATAATTTATTAAAACTATCGAAAAGTTATCCAAAAATATCAAAATTTAAAAGTTTTTAAAACGAAATTTCCGTTCATGTGTATTATAAATGACAATAAAAGGAAACTCCAAGTATAGTAATCTCAATACTATAAATTTTTTCAATGCAAACTGTAATAAGTAATAATAACTAATGATTTAGAAATAGGCCTCAGTTTTGAAACAACTACTCGTAGCTTTATTTGGCTCTAACTGCATTAGAAACTCTCTTAATGTAACTTTATCGCACTTGACCTTATTAACTTGACAATAAGATATAAATTGTCCGTAATAGCAGGTTTAGTTTTATATAATATCGTGAGACGTAAAATGAACTTATGTCCATTGTATAGAGTATTGAACACCAATTGAAACAATTGCACAGAAAATTTTATTTAGTTTGAAATTAGGTAGTTACATTGGATTTATACTCGTAGCACCTAGGTTGTATGGCGGGCTGTTGTCGTAATCTTCTTAGAGGAGACCGGTGCCCAGAAATGTAACGTATATGGGGTGATAATAAGGTCAACTTTACATGGCGAAATCCAACCAAGTATGTTCAATTACAATACCAGCAACGAAAAAATCATTACACTTATGTCAGTCCCAGGGCAAAGGTACCTTACGGTCACTCTAAAGTTGCCTATACTTAAGGCAGACAAAATATACCCGTAATCTATTTAATAATGCAAGAATTACTCACTCTAAAAATTGCATTATAAAGTCCTTTACCTTTGAGTTGACACACTTTTGATAATGTATGTGTAATTTTAATTATAATAATATGAAATCTCGTACACGTACGTGGCGTGTACATTTTTAATACTTAGAAACCAAATTTCCACGCAAGGCTTTGCAATCAATGAGTGCAATTCTATCTGATTGTGTTTAGAATGGCCCATTACCATAGGAATGGTTAGGTTAATCTAATGATTTATACATTGCGGGGGCGCAGAGGGCACGTGTGGGTGGTGTGGGCGGCCGGAAGGAAAACCAGACTTGGCTTTCCACATCCGGTGCAATCAAAACTTGTTGCTAAATTCAATAAAACAGAATATCAGTTCTGAAAGAGTACGTAGTTGATTTCGTTATGCTGAATAAACTTTATAGGCATTAGTACCAACTGATATGGTATTACATAGAGGCACTATAAGTTTCCGAAAACTGGACACTTACATAAACAATATTTAAAAAGTAATTACAACTTTGAAAATGGAACTCTTTGGGTGTAGAATACAGTTTATTTCATCTGACTGTCACTTGTTTTTACATTGTGGCGTCATTTTAAATTCGTTGTCTACATCACCATGGATGTAACTCGTGAAAATTTTCGTAGTATGATTTTCTACGACTTTAAGAGTAATTTGACCATTTGTTTGTCGGAAGTTATTGACGAACTCCGTAAAAATAACCATAAACGCCGTATCACCACGCACCACGATAATGCCAGTTCTCACACGGCCAGACAGACAAATTAATTTTTGAAGGTGAACAACATTGACATTATGAGCCATCCCGCGTACAGACTCGACCTGGCACCTTGTGACTTTTATTTATTTCCAAAAATTAAGAATCAGTTACGCGGTCAACAAATTTCGTCACCTGAAGAGGCTATCGAAGAGGATCAAAAATATGTTTCAGAGATTGTCACGGAGGAGTGGCATAAATGTTTTCAAAATTGGTTCATTCGCATGAAAAAAGGACGCTAACGGGAGGATATTTTGAGAAACAATAAATTCATTTCTGGCCATTTAAAGTATTTTTTTCTTATTAATTCCGGAAACTTATAGTACGCCACACGTAATTGATTGAAATTATAACTTCGTTTTCATCACAGACATATGTCTCGATAGACGCCGCAAGTGTACGTACTTCGCGTGCCCAAAGGAAGTGAAATTCACTTACTTGCCGCTGCTACACTTCAGAACGCGCTCGACGGTTATCGTAGATAAACACCAGTCGAAAACGCGGAAAATGTATAATTCTGCCTTTGTAAAAAGCAAAAGCACCATAACTGTGGGTAAACGGGTAAACACAGACGTTTCCTTCCACGGTAAGAGATTTTGTAATCAGAAGATGCATAATTTATTTTAAAAACAATTATTTTGGTTTTGTATGAACTTCGAGAAACCAAATATGCAACCCAGTGTATGCCTCATTTGGGATACATTGCGGCTTTCACTTGGTGCGATATATTTGTGATCCCTTGTTAATACGCCATGAATATCGAACGAACGCACTTTTGTATAATGCATTCAGTTTCGTGGTACGGCCGCTTGTACATTCTTTTGGCCAAATTTAACATTTAATGATGTTAAGTTAGGCAACACTGTTATCGATTCTGATCGATTTTAAAAACAAAGGGACTATAATTACGACCTTAGCAATATTATAAAAATATTCTATAACTCCTTTGTTATAACGTTTAGTAACGTTTCGTTTTTTTTCAGTTTTGTAGTATCTATTATTAGTAGTATCCGTAATTTCATTAATTTTTGCAGCATGTTGCCTTGAATGTCCGAATATAGTGAGCAAATAATTACATATATCGCCAGATATGTAGTACGAGTAATACAAAAAAATACAAAACGCGAAGAATGTAACAGTGCGCTGTCTTTACAAAAACCTGGAGTTGGTCATACGTATGATTTCGTTGCTTTTAAGGACGAAGGTGGTCTAGTTTATTACATCTGCTATCCAAATATGCAGAATAGCAGAGTTAGAAATCCGAGAATCATGATCAAATCACAAAAACTTTACACGAGGCCGATATTAAGTAAACCTCTTCTGATTAGTAAGATTTTACGATATTTTGTCAGCAGTAACATTTTCAGTTGTCTTGCCATTCACCAGTTTGATCAATGACCGACGGAAAACCATCTAGTAAATTTAATTAAGGCAGTTAAAAGTTCAATATTGACGCGCGTTTTCATTATTTAAGTCAATCGATATGATCTTCTATTACAAAAAGACGGTTATATAATAAGCTTATTTTATTTCAAGGACAATAATTTTAATATTTGGAGTTGATTAAAAATTAAAGTTTAATTTTTTAAGTAACCAAATTTTTATCTTGTTTTGGTGTTTTTCTACTATTTTGATTTTTCACGTCTACTTGTAATCAATGAATACTTGATTTGATTAATTGAATGGAATACGTGTATTCCCATCACTAAATAGTACTTGTGACGTCATGGTGGATACATAAAAAGTGGTACGCTCGGTTTTCATACAAATTGTTGTACTTGCGGCGTCTATCTAGTTATATGTCTGTGGTTTTCATACAATTTTACCTAAGAGTCGATAGTACCTTTGCTCGAATTCAAATTTTTCCCCTACTCAATCAGTTCCATTGCGCGAGTCGAGCGGCAGGGACACTCGCTTTCGTTCAGAATTTATTTTTTTACAAACTGAAGCCATTTAAAAAATGTATATCGTATACTACACGTGTTCTATTTAGTTCACTTAATATAAAATAAATCATTATTGGTATATGTAAAGTACCTATTGAATACAGCGGTTTTCTTGTAAAATTTCTAGATAAGTTTGTGTTTTTTCTATTGTGAAAATTTTTAAGAATCGCCATTTTCGCACCGTCTACTAATCAGTGTACTCGTATATCCTCAATTTTACTATAATATTTTTTTCCAAAATGATTGATTCAAGAATTTGACTGTTATGGGGAACCAACCAAAGCCATTTGAGGTTGTATCGACTCTTAATGAGTAATGAGTACTCGAAAATGAACTGTAGTTCAGAGAGAGAAATAATTAATTACAATTGTAAACTGCTCGCATATATGTAGCCGTGGTAGCCTAATTGTTTAACCTACCGCCTCTGAAGCAGAGGTTGTGGGTTCGAATCTGGGCTCGCACCTCTTAGTTTCAAAATTTACGTACGAAATTTAATTTTAAATTTATCATGAGCTTTACGATGAAGGAAAACATCGTGATGAAACCTGCACGTTGAAGAAGGTTCACAACCTTCGGAAAACGTGTGAAGTCCCCAACCCGCATTGGGCCAGCGTGGGACTATGGCCTAAGCCCTCGCCTGAGACTCGTGCCCAGCAGCGGGACGTACCTATAAATAAATGGGTTGATGATGGTGTAAACTGTCCGACTATTCAACTTATAAGGTTCCTGTGCGCGCACAGGTTATAGTGCCCTTCTCGTATACCCTAAGGGTCGGTAGGGAGTGTCACTATAATCAAGACTAATGTAGAAAGATATGGGGATGCTCGACTATTCAACATTAGGTGGTGATCAACTTGATAGACTACATAAAGTGGTTAATTCGAAAATATGAATTCATTGAATTGTACTTTTATTAGAGTACCTCTTATTTAGGCACCAATGACATTAATACGAATCGTACCATTTAATGATTGTTTTGAATTGCCAAGATTTTTAGCTAAATGCTATTCTAGACATCATCATCCAGAAATCTAAAGAGAAAATAATATACACAACAGTGTTGCGTATAGATAGCGGGCGAAGCGAAGTATTTCCGGACGGTGACCGGTCGCGGGCCGCGGGGCGTCGCCTGCGCAGCACACGCCAAACCGGTCCCGTAATTTGGTGTTTCTGAAGACCCGTGTCGATTAATTTACGATTATGGACAGGTCAAAGTAAAAAACCATTCGAGGACTCCAAAGAAATTCCACAACAAAGACTTCTGAATATGTGGTGTCAAAATTAACACATTGAAGAGATCGATGTGTATTGGTTTCGTGTTTGTTTTATTTGCTCGCAAAGAAATTATTTAAATGACGCTCTTTGCTGGTTTTAACTTAAATTTCTGAATGTACACATGGTATTTACACAAACACCTCTTATCGACAATGTCTAATACCTATCTACTCTGCTGGACATAACATAGTACATAAGATCGTTTCATGATAAATTTTCTCGATTTTGCAATTTTCATTGACTTAAAAATTTTTAAGCATATTTTCCTCTACCTTACTTACTCTACCTCAGATTTGAGAACACGATATATGCTTTACAATAAAAAAAGCGACGTCTCAAATCTGTAATATGACGTGCGCCATTACCGAGGCATGCGATACCAGCAGACATGTTAATTAGCCGATGACATGGCGACACGTATCGTTCCACTCAGGTGCAGTGATTGAGCAACTGTTTATCAAGCTATTGCTCAAAAATTTACCAGTAGCGCAGGTAGGCCATCGAATCTTCATTTAAAGTGATCAACTAACCTTTAGCTAATCTACGGGATTACGGGAGATTGTCATGGTGAGAATGATACTGATGCCCTAAAGTGGTAGCTACGTCATCAAATGGGAAAACCCGAAATTAAACGGTCGTTACTTTATTATATGTATATTTGTGAACATGGTGTGAGGACAAATATATCTGTTTAAATTTTCGTTGTGAATAACTAGACTCGTATTGTCTCCTTGTGGCACTACCGTTGTCATATCTTCTCAATCTATCAATTTTTCATTTATTAATCTCTATCTATCAATTTTTTTTCGGACATACGAAAATTACTGTATCCTATTTCTGTATTTGTTTTTGTTTTTCTGTTGTAGGTACTAAATACCGCATTTCGCGTAATGGACAGCTTAAGCTTTTCTTCACAATTAAATTTATTGGAATTTATTAACCTCGATAACTTTTCATTACAAATGAACTTAGTAACGTTCCATTGATAGTACCCACATACTTGGGGTTTTATAATTTCATCCAGTGGTTAATGTCAATTTGAGTCAGGTGTTCTGCTTTGACTGTCTATTGCGAGTCACTGGTTTTTATAGCTTGGATGTGTTCCTTCCTACAGTGGACGATGGTCTACTTGGTCTGACCGATGTGCGAGTTATGTGTGTAACACATTTTAATTTACTTTGCTGGTGGGCAATTAGGAGGTATAGAGTGTCATTTTCTAAGTCTTTCGAAGTTATACTATCTCAGTTTTAAAATTATAGAAATTATAAAAATTATAGATTTAAAATTATAAACTATATATATTATTTAAAAGATAGTGCGAATAAAATATTAGTGATATAATATGTTGTGTGTTGAGGTTAAAGTTACTTCGAGTTTCGACAGTGTTATCAGCATCGTGTCACACGGTAATTGAATGCTATCTCATTAGAGAAGTCCAGTGACAAGCAGTTATACTTAAGTTAGATAAAAAAACTCAAGTCAGATAAAAAAAAAAATAGGTTCCTGTCCAAGTTCACTAGGGATATTAAACTACTTAACTATTTTTTTAAATATTAAACAGTTGCGGTTAACCTTAATTACTCATCAAACCAATGAATGGCATAATGTCGTGTTCGTCTAGTTTTCTTACAATAAGTTCTCAGAACAACATTAAATTTATCGTAAGCTTTGAATTTCTGAACAAAATTAGTCATTTAGTCATAACAATATTTATCTGCCAACGTAATTTTTATATAAGACATAAGATCTGTTGTTGTTGTTGCATAAAAATAATTTTCTATTTTTCTTCTTTTATCATTCGCTTTTGTCAAGTTTTTCTGCCATACATCTTCTGTTAGACCTCTTGGTACAGGCGCTCTCTTTTGCTATATCTACAAATAGATAGTAACCACCAGTCTGTTTAGGTTAACTATATTTAAATACCTTCCTATTTGAAGGTATCTGTTTTTCTCTTTATCTGATTAAAATGTCCTTGGTTTTATTCGTTAATATTTGCCCTATTTACCTTCTGCAGTTTATTTTCAATCAGATTTTAGAATAGTTGTCAACTCTTTTCTAATGGTCCATCTTACGGTTTATCTGGTGTTAAAGGTGTTAAAAATTAGAATAGCTGAAAATACAGCTATTCTAATCTTTTTTATTATTCCAATTCCACTATGTTGGTCACCTTGTGTGATCAGCTTCTACCTTCCGTCCTCTTATAATACCATGTTCCCGAACGCCAAAAACAAAACTAATTTTGGAAAAATCCTTTCTTAATAGGTTCAGCTGGGATTTAAACATGGGACCACCTCGTATAAAACCGACATAACTTAACAGCTGAAGCATGTCGTTGAGCAGTGATAAAGATTTCAGTTTGTGTGTATATAGTGTAAGTTGTTCGTAATTCGCGTACAATATTCACAGCCACGTTTAGCGTGTTTACTTCGCAGTTGCTCTTGCAACTGCGAAGTAAAACGGTGTCCGAAAACAACGGCTATAACACTTTATTAAGTGCCTCTATAAAACTTGGACCACCCGAACCAGCTCGCATTCCGAGAACTGTCCACCTAACTGACACAGACGATATTTTGGTCACCCTAAGTGACAATAAATTGCAAAAGCACCACCCAAGGCTTCAATAAAACTGAAATAAAATATTTGTATATTTGTTTTTTATTCTTATTTTGGTCAATAAATCTGGTGATATAATACCAGAAGTTAGCGCGATGGGAAAATAATTTGTTTATACAAATGAGGCTTGTTGGTGCGCGTGGGCCAGAGGTGAGAGGGAAGTGTCGCGTGCGCAGCCTACGTCGATTGTGCCGCCGCCATTATTTTTCCACTTGAGCGTTAAAATGAAATTAATCTGTATTTTTAATTGTCTAGTTAGGTATGTGTAGGTCCGTCGTTGGTATAAGCTTTGTGCCTTAAATTAAAAAAAAAAAATATTTCTCAATTTGGTTCAACAATAGTAGATCAGGTTCTCCCATGATTGTGTTGGGAAAACCTTGCAACTTATCTAAGCTTAAAACTGAGAATGTAGAAAAATGAGTGGGTTAATTGAATAGAAAATGGAATGATATATGGAAAGATAGATAAAATAAAAAATAACAATACATGTTCAGTATGTAATGAGTGTGCGCGTGTGTGTGTGTGTGTGTGTGTGTGTGTGTGTGTGTGTGTGCGTACATGTGTGCGTGTTATATGTTTCAGGTGATTTGTAGTGTTGCTAATTATGGTGCGTTCTAAGAGATTTTCCACTTCCTCATAAGCAAGGGTTTTCAACCATTGACTTAACGCCTTCTTTTCGTCAGGTTATGGTGATGGAGTTGTAAACATAAGATGCTTGCGAGATGTACTGTCGACTGGCAAATATTGTTCGGACAGTGCGTGAATATGCTACAATATCATTTCTTCGTTTATTTTGTTTATTGTGGGCAAACGGCAGCGATTTATGTAATCTTAGGGTCATATTCAGAATGTATAGCTTTCTGACACTCAAGAGTTTGCCGATCTTATAGAGAGCATTTGTAGAAAATCTGTATGGTTTGAAATACATCCTTTGTTGCCCGTGGAAATACCAGCAGAACTACTAGTAGTTCCACGGGCAATAATAATCTCCCGTAGAAGAAAAAAAAGTAGAAGAAAAACATGACGCGCCGCGACGCTTCGACTCTGCGCCAGTGTGAGTTGAACCTTAGTGTTAAGTATATATAATTGGTGGTCTTTTACGTGTTGAAGTCCATAATGTAGATAGAAATGTTAACCGACTAAGTTACTTGTGTAAGTCGGTGATAGTAGTGCTAAGAGTGGAAAAACATTAAGTTCCAGCATTAGAGTAAAATAAATGCTAATCAATAATACCAACAAACATGAAAACATCGATATAATGGTAGAAAATTGACGTTCTAGCTTACTAGATAAGCATTTCGAATAATAAGCATTGTAAATTGGGAGTACTGATGAAGAAAACCAATATTTGTCAAATTATCTCGAATACGTGGGTAATTTCGACCTCAGTGACCTAATGGCTTACACTGCGGGCTCTGGTTGCGGAGGTTTCGGGTTCGATTTTCGGTGGGTCCAATTTGGGAAATGAACTTTTCAAAATTGGTTCCGGTCTGGGTGTTCTGGGAAGTGTCCCAGAATTCCGTTGCTCTGGAGTACCAGAGCTGTACTATGTACTATGAGCACATAGTACAGCGAATTCTCTAGGTTCCTAGTTTGACACCAGGCAATTGGTGTGGTTAGATATATTATGAGATATATTATTATGAATGAAATATTTTTTATTGCACACTAAAAATTACCATGACAACACATAACAGTAATGTAAGTATAACAGAGTAAGCTAATGTACAACAGGCGGCCTTATTGCTAAGTAGCAATTTCTTACAGGCAACCTTAGGATAGAAATTTAAGTTGGGAAGAGGGAAGGGGGGGATGCAATGGGGGTGCAAGCACAGAATATCTTGCAATGAAAGTGTTTTAAGTAAATATACTACTCATCAATAAAGTCATTATATATGTAATAATAATAGTAATAAATATATACATTGTTACAATGTATAGGTACATCAAAATAATAATTATAATTAATTTAATAATGAAAGGGTTAAGTCATTAGTAGAGTGCAGTGCGATAAGTTATGCATATGCTTTAGTGATGGTCGTCCTACATTATTTCCATTTATATCCAACTAGTATTTGAAATAAAAATGAATAAAATTGATACCTACGTATGAATAATAAAAAAAAACTATTGAAATTTGAAGTAGAGTCGCAGATCAATGGTTTTTTAATTTATGTAGTAGAATATAGGCACTGAAATAAAACATGCTATTCGTAAAAGGGTATCTCATGGTTACCGAATAAAATAAAAAAAACTTTTGTTTTTAAAATAAGAAACAAGGTTTTATAATTGGAAACGTAACACGTGGCGCCATCTAGAATTGTGTTCGGAATTGTGTAGCAGCAACTGGGCCGCAAAGGTTCTTGCCGTGGAGCCAGTTTGCCAACACAAACCGACTTCTGGGTGGCACAGCTGGCAGGAAATTGTTGCCTTCTCCTTGCTCGTACAGCATGATAATGTAGCGGTGTGGGCCCGTACCACGAGGTGGCAGTGGCGCCTTATACCCTACATTTACAACGGACAATGCAATGAACAGTATATCAATGGTTTCAAGCTCGTTTCAGTAAAAAATGGAATGTTGCCTTCTATACTTAGTTGATTGAAGCAATAACAACGTCATTTCTATTAGCAAAAATCAATCGTAAGCACTTATTTAAATCTGAGTTTTCAAAGTAAGCCGTGATTACACTATACTTACTAAAAGCTGAAACAAAAATAAAATCTTTTTATAAAATTGCATAATTACGTAAAAAATCGTAAGTGAGACAAAAACTGATTGCTATTTTTCATAACAGATATGACGTTGAGTTTAGTTAACCCGTGTAAATTAAGGTAAAATTAATTAATCCGATTAAATTGTATGCAATAAAAAAGTACGAAGCGATACGATAAGTTTTCGATATTTTAATCTATAACTTTACGTACTTTGTAACTAATAGGTATTCAAAATTAAATTTAGTAGCAGTAGAGCTCCTTGTGAAAGAGTTCGTCCTGGGAAGTACTGTGACCATACCTATTTCTGCCGCCAAGCAGCAATGTCAGCATTACTGTGTTCCGGTTTTGAAGGGTACAGGCACATGAGACTTGTCAACTCATGTCTCGGGGCGACGGGTGCAGTGGCAGTGCCCCTCAGATCTTTGCGATGTAAATCTCTAAGTGGCATTGCAACTGTTATGGACAGGCGTGTAGCTTATAACTTGATATTATAAAAACATATATATATTACCTCGATAGTCTATACCGACGGTCTTGCTACTTTCTTTTGATTTCAATGCTAATCCCTGAAAAAAGTACATGAACATTTACGGCTGCTTGCAGTAAACGACCAATTAGCTAATGCTTGATAAAACGATTAACTGGTGCATTGTTTCAAAACAAGAGCATAACAATCGTTCAAAGTTTTAACTTTGGTTGCACGTGTTATTCCATATAAACGCGTGACTTTTGGTAGGTAAAAATTACGAAAGTATTGCACTTAAAATTATGCAATGATGGGTGCATATCAAGCTACACATTGACGGATCTTGTTCCGTTGCACTAGAGGCGATATTCGAACAAAAGTGTGTAGATTGATATCCATGTTAACAGTACAAACATTCCCAAGAAATTGGTCAAGGAAAAGAATATTTTACTCACCGGTATATTTGATTTCAGCAAGTGCATGAAAAATTCCCCTTCAATTTGTGGCGGAGCGTCGGGATCTGCCATTATCAACGTGTAAAACTTTTTCTGTTGAGAGAAAAACACGTTCGTGTCTTTGTAAAAACTACGTACCTAATTATTTCACGTTAATTAGCATCGCCATATGCACTTACCGAATCAGCCAGTTCAAATTGAAATAAAGGTTCTTCAGCGAAGACTTGTTTGGGTAAAAGCACGTCACAGTTGTGGTCATTAACGATGGTACCCCCAACGCTTGTCACGTTCATGCCCATCAGTCGATCACAGCCTTCCAGAAGACTCTTTACATCGGTCACTTGACATGCCTGTGACAGTGCCGCACTGCCATACACAGGCCCGTAAATAAGACTCAACAATACAAGCGAACGAAACATATTTACGGAAAAAGAAATCAAACCAACTGCACTGTAAGCAAAGGATTGTAGAAGTGTGCTGCCAACGTGTAAGGGTTGTGTATAGGCCGTATGTTATGAAAACATCATTAGCAGCATAACAAGCGTGAAATGTTCGAGGACCGTTCCAATTTTCCTGTGAAGGTCGTAGAGATTTTGATGATGATTTAGTAGCAGTAGAGCTCCTTATGAAAGAGTTCGTCCAGGGAAATACTACACCCTTTCCTATTTTTGAGGTAAAGCAGTAATGTGAGCACTATTGCGTTCCAGTTTTGAAGGGTGAGGGTACTATTGAAATTACAGGAACATGGGACTCGTCAACTTATTTCTCAGGGTGACAAGCGCAGTGGTAGAGTCCCTCAGATCTTTGTGATTTCTCTAAGTGACACTGCAACTGCTATGGACAGGCGTATCGCGTAAGAATCGATACAACCTCAAATGGCTTTGGTTGATTCCGCAAAAGAGTGAAAGTGTTGAATCAATCACACAAAAATTGAGGATACACACTGATTAGTATACGGTGTGAAAACACGATTCCTAAAAATTTTCACGTTAGAAAAGTAACACAAACATACCTCGAAATTTTACAAGAAAACCGCTGTGTTCAAAAGGTACTTTACATTATACCAATGATTTTTTTCTATATCAAGAGAACTAAATAGAACACGCATAGTATACCATACACATTTTTCAAGTGGCTTTAATTTCGTTTGTAAAAAAAATAAATTCTGAATTGAAGCTAGTGTCCCTGCCGCTCGACTCGCGCAATAGAATCGATTAAGTGCGGGAAAAATTTTGGAATAAAAGGCAGGATATCAGACACAGTATTTTAAAATTTTTTTGTCTACAAACATTTTTTATCGGGGCTCGTACCCAATGTATGTAAATGTACAATGTTCCTAGTAATGTATGTTTGATGGTATTTGTATGTTTCCCAGAGATTTCGGTTGAGGTACATTGATTTAAAATATGTAAGGTAAAAACCGTATAGTAGTACGGTCCGAAGGTAAGCGTGACAATGTGCGCGATCAGCGACATATTTAGATTAAATTATGAGATACCTAATATATACCTGTATAGCTCGTACATTTTGTTTAAATATTGTTTTAAAATAAATTTTTGACCGACTCCAAAATAAGGGGAGGTTCTCAATTCGACTGCATGTTTTTTGTTTGTGTGTGTTACGCGATAACTCCAGCGAGTGAACCGATTGTGATGATACTTTTTTGTTGGAAAAAGGGTACTTCAGTAGTGGTCCCATTTAATTTTAATATTTCACCTCTAAGGGTGGCTGTTCACGCGTGAAGACATAATTGTATAAAAAGCGCTTAAATTTTCTGAGGAGTAATTATTTTAATGGTTGATTTTGTTGTGCTCCAATTTCTATATCTATGGCTCCAATTGAAGGCGTTTTCCTGTCAATATACTTTAAGCTTGCTTTAAGCAGTGAGCACCGTTTTTTATTATCTCCTGTGTTAAGTCCAGTATATGGTCCTAGACCGAAGTAGGGTTTTGTCTACCTAGGTTCAAGGATATATAAGCTTTCAATCAAGAAAATAAATAAACTTAATTGCTTGGTCGTCGATGCAGACTGGTGAAAGTGTACATAATCCTGTTTATATGTTTCACGACAAAAGCTATCCACATTGAACTAGTTGGAGACTTGACAAGCAATAATTATTTATCAGCATTGTGCAGATTCATTGCACAGAGGGAAACCCAAAAACATAATATTCCGACAATGGTCCATCATTTGTTGGTGCTTACGACCTTTCAAATTTAAAAAAAAGTAATGGTGATTCGCTGTCGTTGGAGGCCGCCAATGAAGAATTTTTCAAACATGTTCAAATGGGTTCACACGTCAATACGTTCCCATACCCATCAACATGTTTGTAAATCATTAACTTGCTTGTTTTCTTTATACAGAATTATAGTTAAGATATAGGGTTATTGATAGATTACCATTGTTCTTGGACGGTGAATCAAGCAAGCGCAGAACATGACCAAGTTGGCAATCAGCACTGTCTGTCTATCTGTGGTATAATAAAACAATATCATTTGTGATGTACAAAGTAAACAATTCAGTAGGAAACATTTTAATTTTTTGATTTTTTTACAGGAATCGTCACCGAGCAATTCATCGTCGGTACCGATTGTTATGGTTGTAGACCCTGAGCCTGACGTACAAGACAGCATAGGTGTACTTATCGACGACGCCAGGGTCGGAGACGGCCCGTCACCGCTTGTTAGAGAACTCTGATAGAAGAGCCAATATAGAAGAAGCTAATAGTCGCCTATTTTTACAACTTTTAGATGTCCTCAAGAGGAATCCAAGATATGTTAGGAAGAATTGAGAGACGGTAAAAATATGATTCCGTTTCTGTATTATTTTTGTCAGTCAGAATACGAACACACAAATATTAAGCTCACCACTTTACCACTCTTTCTTTCTATTATTCAGCCTTTCACCTGCCGACAGTTGAAACATCGACCATCACCACCACTCGCACTTCGTGCTTGTGCGCGCAGTTGCAAGAGTAATTTTGTTTTTGTTTATTTTTTATTCTAGTATGTATAATTTTGTATAATAATAATTAAAGTTTGAATTGAATTACACAATCTTTTTATTTACATAGTTTTTTTTTCCTTATTAAAGCGACTTTGGACCTTCAATTGATTTAGTGGAGACGGCTGTCAATTCATATTTGTTCGTTATTAAGTAGTTTTCTATATAAAATAAACACACTTAGCCACGATCTCACCAGATGTTAACTAGGATAGGACGCATTTGTCCAAAATGCCTATACATTTATTAATATTATAGGTGTGAGTGCTTCAATTGATTAAATATTGGTAGATAATAATAATAAAGATATTTAAATCATTTTAATTCAACTGTTACTAATCGTGATGCCTGAGTTCTCCTATGCGTCGCACAAGATTACTTCATGTTGCAATGCCTGCTTGCAAGTCGCTGTTTGCAACACCAACTGCATCCCGATACGCAATGATGTTAGGTTGCATTCCAGCTTCATTATTTGTGTCCTCTCGTGTCAGTTCTTCAACAGGAACATTGGTTTCATTACAAATGTTATGTAATATTGCACATGCGTTTGTAATTAAACCTGCAGCTTGTGGCTCATAGTGAAATGTTCTGTGTACGAGTAGGCAATGGAAACGGGTCTTCAGAAGACCAATCGTTCTCTCGATCACATTCCGGGTCTTCACGTGCCGATCTGTATAAAATGCTTCTTCTAAACCTTCTGGTGCATTCAATATTGGTGTCATTACAGTTCTCCTAAGAGGATATCCAGAATCACCTGTAAATATATTCTGATAAAAAAATAACCTTGCCAAATTGAAACAGAGTAAATTTTCAAATATTAAATAAAATATGAATGAAATAGAATATGAAATAATATGTAATTTAAAATAAATTATTACTTACCTAGAAGCCATAGACCTTCATTACTGCTGAGGTTATTTAGGTAAGCACATAGGGGATGATGGGACCAAATAAACGAATCATGAGTAGCTCCTCCGTGTCTCGCATCAATGCTAATTATTTGCATGTTTGCATTACATATCTGTAATGAATAAAATAATCACAACATGTCACAGTCACATTTGATTCACAATAACTTATTGCTATTCGTACCCTAACCTTTCTTTTTTTTTACGGGGGGGAAATCTTTATGGATACCCCTGAGCCCAGGGAGACTCAGGGGTTATGTGGGGACTCTTCCTCCAGACTATTCGTACCCTAACCTGTGACTGGATTAGCATATGTTAAATTTGAAAATAACTCAACTTACTAGTTGTACATTCAACGAGCGATAATTTTTACGACAAAAAACTTTTCCTCATGGTCTTTTGGACGTACAATGGCAATGTGAGTACCGTTTTTACAGCCGATAACACCGGGCATTCCAAATTTGCTGTAAAATCTGAAATTATAAAACAACTATTATTTTCCTCGTATTTTCTTAAATAAAATAATGTTATAATAAATAATAATACGAACTGCAATTTATTGCGTCTGCGTTGTTCGGCCGACAATGGGAATTTAATGTTCTTATTTCGCATATAAGAAGTATTTATTGCAGATGTTACTTGACCAAGAACATTTGATACAGTTGACTGTGCTATACACAAGTCACGTACCTCGCCCGTAGGCCTCTGGTACGAACCATGAGCGTAAAAGGATAAAGCTGTTAAAACCTAAAGACAGAGCAATCAGATAAATGAACAAATCAATATCAACAGTTCTTAAATAAATCTTAGGTAAATACTTAGGTACCTTAGTCTCTACCGACAAATCTGACGACTTTGTTGGCTGCGTTAAAAATGTCTTAAGCTCTTCACACAGAGAACCTGTCATGTCTGGGGTCAGTCGATATTATTTAATGAACTCGTCATCGTCTAAATTAAATGGATTATTTAATTCCCGTGTGCAGCGTCGACGATTCAGAATTAAATTATTATTGAAATTGGCACCTAATTAAAAAAAATAAAGAGTTCATACTGCCATTACTTGTTAGAGAAATGTTCAATAAAATGATTAAAATGCAATTTAAAACTGCAATTACATTCATACAACTATGATTACCTAATTTATATCAATTATTAAATGTATCAATAATACTTACTTTAAAGATTGCAAACTCGGACTAAACTATTCAAAAAACATTTAATTATTGAACATTGGCAATATAGCCCAAACAGATAACAATTAATAATGAAAATAAAAAATATAATGAAAATTAAACGAAATTTCTTCAAAAAATGTGATAAAACCCCGCTTTAAAAAAAAAAGTTGGTCACAGAGTAACTATGTTTGATTTGCTTATTTTGACAGCTGAGCCCGCCATTTGCAAGGCAAATAGCACGTCATGATACGATATTACCTTAGAGGATGGAAAAAAATTAAAAGAAAGGAGCTGCCCTAAGTACAGAATCAACGTGCATATAACCAAAATTTGAAAGTTACAAATGGCGATTTCTTTAGTGTTGTACCATAATCTATCGATAAGTCATTATCGATATGCAAATGTATGGCTTGAATGTTGAAACTGTTTTTTTTTGTTTCTTTAGTTTACAGCAACCAAAGTACATAAACAAACACAAGTCTAATAATTTATTCTCGAGTGGTATATTATTATAAATGTCAACACACATTTTTAAACTTTTTTAAAATTTATTTTCAAGATTACAACTGCTAACTTATATAGTAAAAGTCACCAAACTGCTGTGCAGTTTGTTGGCGACATGCGCATTATTACTTAATTACACCTACTTTAATGATATATAACATTACATAGTGTTAATTGTACTTTCTAAATAAAACATAAAAATTACTTTAAGAGGTACGCCTTTAACCTACATTTTAGTACATATCGTCTTTTAACTAACTGTCAAGTACAAGTCTATTCAGGTCTCTGCGGATTCTAGTATTCACGTTACTGGCTTTCTTAAACGAATCTATCTCTTAACCAATTTTAACTGGTAAATTTTTAGTAATAGCTTAGACTATGGAAACTAAAGGACATGTTACGTTGACATATATAAATCAGATGTTATATGTATATGATGCATTTCGACGTCGAAAACATAAACATGTTTATTGTCTTTGTTTAACTATTACGTGTCGTCTTAAGCTAAAAGAGATAGCATTACATTGGTATGTGTCAAACACGGGAATCGAAAATACGTAACGTCATCTTAAGAGCTCTCATGCCAAAAAAGTTTTGACGTTGGTTCCGCCCAAATTTGTGAAACAAATATATGCCTGAAGTTCGCGTGACATGCGACAGAAGATGTTGAATTTTGCGCATTAAAAGTCCCAAATTCGTTTTAGCGGAATAACTCTAAAACTAAAGGGATTTAAAAAAATCCGTAGGGACAGTTGTCGATCATGCATAAATATAATTAATTATCTAATTTTTGTCCTAATAACCTGTAGCATTTCGAGGATAAATCGAAAAAATGTGAAAATTAGAGGTCATTTCGTGATTTTTATCTATCGAGTAAACTTTATTGTTTTATGTTTCTGATTAATGTCTATGCTTGAATATATCGTGTAGTTACTCATACAATATTTTATTTTTAACTTTAAAGTGGATATACCCCTCTAAAATCAAAGCGAAGATTCAGCATTTTTCCTCTGCTCCCTCTTAAATGCCAACCGTGTCCATTTCGCAGTACATGAGGGACATGATACCGTTGTCAAAGGGAAGTACATCAAATGTCAAAACAAATGTTTTTCCAAATGTATTATTGAATTATTCGCATGTATTATAATTAAATTGGACAAAAATATTGACAGTGAGCATTGACTTACAATTATATGGAGGTCGGGTCCGCGCTAAAATGTGTCCGCACTTGTAAGGCGCTAAAATCGTATACAGAGCGCCAAACTCCGCTTTAGTCTTCATTTGTTCGACTGACAGCGCGATACTGCGATGACATTACAATTTAAATTTCGAATAGGTTGACTTGGGACATTTTTTTCGTGGTTTTTGTATTAGACCCGTCGTCCATTTATTTGTAAGTCAATGTAATTCCTGAAGCAAGTATTACTGGTTGAAAGGCAAGCTTTCAACGGCCGGCGGCATGTTCAAGCATGAAGACTGTCTTATTTTTTATAAATAGTGCCTAAATTTTAAAATAAGCAATTATTTAATGGTTGATTTTACTATACTCCAATTGAAGGCATTTTCTTTCAATATACTTTAAGCAGTGAGCACCGATTTTTATTATCTCCTGTGTTAAGTCCCGTATAGTGGCGAACTAGGGGTGAATCCGGTTTTGTGCGCTTTCCGGTAACCCATTTCAATAACTCTTGGCAAATAGATGTAATTCCACGAACTTTTGAGGTCGATTTTTTAAATATTCTGTACTGAGATTATTCAGCTGTCGTCACTATTGATCGACAAATAGAATTCAAATACCTTAAAGGATGGAAAAAAAGTCAAATACCTACCTACTAATTTTAACTTCTGTCCATTGCTTAAAGGATGGAAAAAAATAAAGGAAATAGTCTAAGGTCCATTGACATAATATGACATTACGTACATTTCTTTTGTCACTGGAATAACTCCATGAAATCGGTGACTTAAACTTTTCCTCACATGGTACTCTCAGAATACGCGTTGAAGCTGCAGAAGCTTTAAAATTAATAAGCTGAAAACTCTATATTGGCGAAATTCAAAAAGGGCACCGCCAATAAATTATAAGAAGAAGAATAATTCAAAAAACAACAAACAAGTATTGCGATGAAAGATGAGGCCAGAGCTTTGGCCAGATTAGGGATACCTCGACTTAATGCCTCGCAAATGACCCAGGAGGTAGCGTGTCGTATCCGATGTGCTCGGTTATGGTGTCAACGGCACTGGCATGTGCTTACCGATTCAAATCTCAATAGTATAGGCAAGTTTCAACTCTACGTGTTACTGGTTAGGCCAATACTGGCATATGGTTGTGAAGTGTGGCCTTATGGTGGATGCGCTCTCAAAAAACTTTTACAATTCGAAGCTGCAATTCTCATAGAGATATACAAATCGAAGTATCACTCCAAAGATCCAAAAAGGTTAAAAGTAAAAAAAGTAATGGTGTACTCTCTATATAAATATTCAGATATTGCAACTCACATAGAAAATGAACGCTTGCGATGGAATGAATTATTGCCATACGAGGAAACAGCTTTAAGAGGGCCAGATCCAAATAAAAAGAGAGTACGGTTCAAGGGGTCAACTGAAACATATAAGAAGGCAAGATCTAGCTTCTTCAAACCAGATTATCATCAGTTTTATATTTCGAAATTGAGAAGCCGTACCAAAATAAAAACAAATCTACGAATTAATGATATTGAAAATCATCCTGGATGAGCAAACAAATAAAACTTTGGATCAAGTTTTGTTTGAACAGAGAAATGCTAATTTCTCGAGGAATTACGACCTGTGTAAACAAATATTGGACTATGTAAATAATACATTGATAGTTTCGGGAAAGAATTTTATTCGTCTAAATAAGTACATTTTTGTTAATTGTATTTCAAGCCAGCTCTGTTTTTGTTTTTTTTTTTTGTAATTGTTAGGTAAATACACAAATTAAGTGTTCTTCGGTATAAATACAAGGTGTAATTAAATAGGTACATCAGAGAAAAAAATGAAAATTCTAATTAACACTTTAGTCTGCCTAGATAAAATCTATATCATTGCACACATATTTCTAATATTGTATTCCTCGACATTGCGCTCGAGTTCCATTTTTTCATGCACTACCTACTTACAGGAAGCTATAGCTGTTTCATTATCTAGATGTGTAGGTAGTTATTTCAAGATAAAATCTCAAACATAAATTAGTAAATATACGATAAACTCTAATACCAAATAAATACCTAAACCGAATTTAATTATAAATATAATTTCTTAACGGAATTTGCGGTTTTTATTGGCTAATCTCAAACTTCTTCGAGGCCCCACTTGGTTAACAGTATCTACAGATATTGCAGATGATAGCCTTATGCTCCGTTCTGAATGAAATGTGGATTCGATTAATGAATCGACAAATGACTGAGAATCTAACGTTTCATCTGAAACAGGACATGGCAAGCCAGAAGGCCGAGGAGAACGTCGACGTGGGACTCGATTTCGTCCGTGACGAAGCGTTGCTTTAGCTTTTGGTAATGTTAAGGCTCTTACAAAATAAGGAAATGGGTCAGCAAAATCTTTCGTTGCCCCAAACTTACTCTTCAAGAAATTTCGGCTTAGAGAATACCTTCTAGCCCATCTGCATTCTTGCACTTTCAAGTAACACGATATGTCTATGTCAGAATACTGACTGTATACTTGTTTTTGTTCTACCTCCCCAAAAATCAGCTTCAATGCCTCCGTTTCAACTGCCTTTAAGTCATTTGCACGCCCTTTTACCCAATTAAAAATAAGCAAAGGCCTTATAAATACTTTGTAGAACAATATTTTTTCTGCTAGTGGTACTTGTCCAAGTTTTGAAATTTGTTCGCGTATCTTCAGCCATTGTTTTTTCAGAAAAGTGTTTTTCATTTTTATTTTCATAATATTTTCAATAATAAAACATAGGCAACAAATTATCTTCAATGTTGATGGTCCTTTTTTATTAAAAATAATCAATGTCTCCTGTGAAATGTTTTTAACATATTTCATTCCACAAATTAAAAAGGTTTAATATTATAATGAAAAGAGAATCTATAACACGATTTTTTTAGGTTTGTCTTTAGTGTAAGTGTAAGATCATTGGGTTTGTCCCAATACTCGATGGTCCCAGACTATTTTCTCCTCCTACCTCTAAGATTTGTCCATTTGTCCCATTGACTTAACTACATTGAACACCAAAGAGTACATTTGAGCACTTTGACTGTAGATCTGTATATACCTACGTCTGTTTATCTTTATGAGTAAATCAATGTTTTGTTTAGCATGCTCTAAGATCACTAGAGGATTAAGGATAGTATTCCAGAACTCTACTCAATGCTCAAGTCAGGACTTAAGTATGATTTAAAGCACTAGTAATCATAGGGTCGTATTCTAGAACTATAATCAATGCTCAAGTCAGGATTGCAATTGAAATACAAGCACTGGAAATACGACCCTAATGGCAGGGACTTGAGTATGATTTTAGAGTGCTTTAAACCATACTCAAATCCTGACTTGAGCATTGAGTAGAGTCCTAGAATACGACCCATACTCAAACATCCACTAGAGTCGTATTTCCAGTGTTAAAATCATACTCAAGTCCTGACTAGAGCATTGAGTAAAGTTCTAGAATACGACTCTGAATCTTCAACGAACTAGTGCTCTCTGATGATTCGTTTGAAGATTAAGTGATTTTTCTTCTTTGAAGATAATGAAATATCGGACATGAAGATTAAACTAAGTAGTAGAGCTCTAGTCTCATTTAAAAAAAATATACGCAGTAGACATTTAGCTACCTACTGAATTTTATCAAAAAACTAACAATAACACAAAATTAGACTGACTAAAGGCGAGTGTTTTTTAGCATATATAATTAAAAGGGAAACATACAAAAGACATTTACTCATCAAATTTTATCGCAGACATTAATGCGTCACCGAAGTTATGGCAGTATGATTCTTATAATCTGTCTTTGGAACAGAAACAAAAATACACATTGACAGATAGCATACTGACAGTTTGACAGTTGGCTGATAGTGCTATTTTTTTAACTGTATTATTCGTGAACAAAACCATTTATTTTTTATTTTTATTTATTTCAATAGACGTGCCTTCAACAATAAATATTTATTATTTGTTGGCAAAAAAATAACCACAATGGAATCTCACCCTTTGAATTTGGTAAGATACTGTGACTGATAAATAAATGCTGTAGGTTTAATTGTTATGGTGACTTGGTTCACGAAATACGCATTAACGTGTTTTAGGCCCATCAGCAACATCGCCGTGCCGAAGCTCATCTAAAAAGCAACAGATATGACGAAGCTATGCAGTGCCACCACAACGCAGCTGAACTACTTTTAGATGCCATGAAATCAACTGCCTCGTCAGTGGCCTTAGAGTCTATCACATTGCAACACAGCTACCATCTTAAACAAAAGGATCTCATCAAAAGCAAAAAGGAACAATATGCGAGGGTCAAAAAAGCAATGGATAACCTTAAGCTTATGGCAAAAGACCCTTTTAATCTTCAAGGTAATGAACACTCCAAAATCCAAATGGCAATATATAGAACAATAAATGAGAATGAGTCATTATTGAACAAATTATCAAATACAAAGGAACATAATGAATTAGTAAAGGAGCATGTTATAAGAGATGTTACAGACAAAAAGAAAATTGATAAATCACCGCAGATTATAGTGGAAGAGCTACAGATATTGAGTCAAGATTTACGCTCACTGGTTGAGCAGTTAGTGTTTCAGGTTGAGGTGTTAAAAGATGAGAACATGACACTGAAAGAAAGAGTAAGTTATTTGGAAAAAGAGAGAGTGAAATACTTGAACATACCCACTCCTGGAGGGGAAACAATGTATAAAAACTTCTCAACAATAAGTATTGGTGAAGAAGCTTTACCTAAAGACTCTATTCCAGTGGCAATTGTGCCTCCTCCAAGCAAATTAATTACAGCTACAGAACGGTTAAACCAAAAACCACATTTTGATCTTAGCGCTTTAAAAGACGATTAATAGTTTCTAAAACCTGACATGATTATAACTTATAATGACATGTCAATGCACAGGAATATTTTAGACAAGCTTGTCAGCAAATGTAAGCCTATTTTAAGATTGGTTAGAAAAAATGTGTTTTATTGTAAATGAATAGTTGCATTCCTTTGTGCATATTTATGGTCTTATGGAATGTTTTAAATGTGTGCTCTCATCAAAACGTTTTCTTTTTTTAGTACTTTATAAGAACAATCATTACATTTTTATGTATAACCTGCTTTTATTTAGTTGTAAATAGTAACAAATAAACCCTTTGGTTTAAAGCCCTAGAAATACTCAAGTCCTAGCCATTAGAGTCGTATTTCCAGTGCTTGAAATCATACTCAAGTCCTGACGTAAGCATTGAGTAGAGTTCTGGAATACGACCCTTAAAGTAAAAAGTAACCACTCACAGACAACGTATTCACAGAGAGTTCCTTTTTCAAATTTCTTATTAGTTTTTTTAGTTTCTTTTACATTGGCCAGTTCCAGGAACTTTTAGTATGCCCCACACATTGACCTAACAACAAATGAACATCGGGTCTAATACAAAAACCACGAAAAAAATGTCCGAGGTTAACCTATACAAACATGTAAGAAAAAACCATGAATTTTTTATTTTTAAATAACCAATTTTGTGAGAGAGATTTTATTCTTATAATTAACCCTATCGATCGATGCAATAAAAGCAAGGTGCATTTTTTTCAGATTAAAGCGGTTCGATTCCCGCGTGTTGCTAGAAATTTTCCAAATCTATGAATGCAGTTTTACTTCTTTTAATAAAGGAATGTTTCCTTTAATAAAAATTTCTATCTCCAGTATTTAGAGTACTTTCCCTCCAAGTGTTCCAAGTTACAAATTTCCATCCGGTATATTATTGTCGAATTTTGTACAAATTCACTTAAAGGTATAATAAAGAGTTGGGCAGATACATACATACAATGATTGTGTAAATAATGTGAAAATACAAATGTGAAAATAAGCGTGTACTATAAAAAATGTACCCATATTCTAACTAAACGTAAACTCAAATATCCGTAATTCCAATTTATAACAAAACCGTTACGCTTTCGAGTAATTTTGATGCTTTTTACATAGACAAAATTAGCTTTTGTTTTGTAATATTCGTAAAAACACATTATGAAAATTCGAGTTAATGTTATTTCGGGAAAATGTATTTTCTGACTTCTGATAGGTAATCCCATACCGTAACACAAGTACAACAATATTTTGTTATTGCTAACGTTTAATAAAAGAATCATTTTAAAAATAGGATTAAAATCAAAGCAACTCTACAGTTTCTTTGTTCTAAATATTTCAATCGCTTGTGGTTCGAACAATTGAAAATGACCAAGAAGTTTATATAAGCTTCTTGAAACTGACGTAATGGGTCTCTTTCCATCTTTTATGCATGCAATGAGTAGAAAAAGGGCAGTTAGCTATTTCATTATTTCGTGTGCTTTTGTAATTTATATTTACGATTCAGTTATATAACTGTACAAAATAACACTTTTAAATGACAACTATGATACCTAACACAATATATGTATTTGTTTAGTGAAAATATGATACAAAATCCTGTTTTCATACTTTACTGCAGTAATTTTTACAAGTTATTATTTGTACTGCATATATTGGGACTGCATGATTGACAACCGCGCAGTCACTCGAACAAACGAAGACTATTGCGCAATTGACGCTCTGTATGCAATTTGAACGCCCTACAGGTGCGGACACTTTTTAGCGCGAACCCGACGTCCATTTATTGGTAGGTCAATGGCCCCACATAAACAGTCAAGGGTATAAATTAATAGTAACAACAATAATGTTTATAGATATGTATTGCATATTGGTCTTACTCAAAATAAAATCTTATCTGTTTTAATGTAAAAATAAACTTCCCAGTAATCACTGGGAATAACTATTCTTACAGCTAGAGGAATTCTATACATTAACAAACAATACAACTAATAACATCCTCATAAGACTTAATCATAATTGCGAAGTTCAAAACTACAAATTACTCTATTTCGAGATAATGTACATCTTCACTTCAAATGAATAATTAACGAGTTACTTTCAAGATAATAATTTATTCAGGGAATACTCCCATTACGCTGTGTTCCACAGTCCCACGATGTTGGCGGCGGCGGCGTGCTAGAGACCGTTCACTGTTGACTATTACCGTTAGGTCGAGCCTATTTTTTGCATACCCGGCGATTATACATTATGTATCATAAAAAGAAACATTTGAATTTCTGAACTTCTATAATTAATGTTAATGTTATTTATTATAGACATTACTCTCCTTATATTTTTGGTAACATGGAACATCATAAGGCATGCTCTATTTATTCTATTTGATTATGTATTTTCTATTATTTAATATATTTTTTAATGGGAATTCAGATCTTTAACTATTAATATTATGAAGTTACTAAAATCTATAAAAGCTCTTTCTTCGAACAATATATTTTAAGAAATATTTTTTATAATCTTTAAACAATTATGTTGTTAAATTTAATTTCCTTAATTCAAAAACCAAAAAATTACCTAGTTATCAAGCATAAAGTTTTCCGTGGATATATTATTATTACTATAAATTGCAATGTACAAAAAAACTAGTAAAGGTTGGACAAAACTAGTCAGCACACTTAAGAATCCATAGTCAGTGGCGGATTTGCAGTCTTGGCTGCCCTAGGCCCCAGGCAATGTAGTCAGTACCAGCATCCGTTCAGTATGTAGTTTTTGAGTTTATCGTAATTAGACAGACGTAGTGATTATACATTACATTATAGATGTAACATATCTATATTTTATACATAAAATGTACGAAAGTGATTTACAAAGATTAACGGTGCGATGCAGTGCGGCCAGCAATAATAGGCGTGAGTGTTAAGAATATTTAGGTACTTTTGAGTTATTTCTTGTTACCATCAGTGAATTTTTGTCACGATTGGCCACCCTAGGCCCAGACCTATTAGGCCTTAGAGCAAATCCGCCAGTGTCCACAGTAATTGTATTTTATAAACAGAGTTTGGACAGAACACTTCAGCACGACTCACATAAAAAATACGTTTATTAAAGACACCTTGATAAGGCATAAATTGTCAGGTGGAAAAATTTTACAACACATTTTTATTTTGGATCAACTTAAATTCCGATAAAATACGTTAAATAGTTCACAATCATATTACCTCATAAGTATTTGAAAAGAAAAATAAATATTTGGAAACTAACAACCCTTACCTATATCAATCATAGAAATTGATGAACATGAAAGAATGGATTATTTATAAGTTTATCTACACTTGGAAGCAAAAATATCGAACTTGTGTTTATTTCTGATGTTACAGTTTTTACCAATTCGCAATATATGTTATAGTTTTGTTCCATTAATGACCTTAATGAGCGTGGATTGTTAGTGTTTTATTGCTATTTAGTGTGTACAACAAAATCTTTATTGGGCTTGACAAAGTCATAATTAAGTATTTTGTTCATTATTCTCATTTAATAACTACAGATTTTGGTGAAAATACAGGCACATAGGACTTTTATTTTATGCTCAGGGTGACTGGGGCGCCAGAGGCAGTGCCCCTCAGATTTTTGCAATTTTAAGCTCTGAGTGGCAGTGCAACAGTTATGGACAGGCGTGTTGCTTACCGCCAGGTACACTTGATCGTCCCATCACTTGGTGTAATAAAAACGATTTATTTATCGAAATGGAACAACAATGGCAAAGTTGTAGCTCAAACTACATTTTCACAACCCTTATTTAATTTGATACGAGTTTAAAGCAACGAACATAAACTAATTTCGGCATTTTTGCTGCCAAATACATTTTGAAACCAAATGCATCATCGATCACATCATTATTATTAAATAAATAATTGATTTACGTAACTATAATCCATTTACATAATTTGAATTTTGAGTTTTGATGCATAGTCATTAAGTTAAAACTACGTAAACTATTTTTAAAGCATTTTGTGAAATACGAGACGAGTAGGCACAAAAATGGCAAATCACATGTTGAAGTGAACAGCAAAGTCAACTTAGCAACTTCCTTCACAACCACAATAATATATTATGTGGAACAAAATTATCAATTTTTTATTATTATTATATCGCCACACACATAATAGCAGCTGCAATACATATACATAATTTAATTTTCCGAGCCAGTAATAGGTATATGGCGAAAGAATTAAAAAAATACAAGGCATAAAATCACGGTTTTTGTTAAGTGTTACCTTCAAGAATTTATTTTCCATTTGTACTTTTATTTATACAAAATCCAGTGCTTCAGCCGTAGTGGTCCTCTCACCCTAATCTGCAGTAGTAACACTAGGAAAATCTTTATTTAACAGTCAAGAAGTGTTCATTATTATTAAAGATCAGTTACTATTATGTATGGGAAAATTGGAAGGGAAAAATGTTTACAATTACTTACAATTAATCTTATTGTCAATTTAGAAAACCATGACCTACATCCTTGTGTACCTATGTGTCAGAGTCAATAAAATATTATTTTAAATTTAAGTAGTACCAACAGATTATTATTTTGATATTATAACTCCTCTAATAGTTACTTAACTGCTACTCCTGATCCTAAACTACTCTTACCTTGGTTAAAAATAAACGACCTTAAAAAACTAAAATTTTAAATAATACTTTTCTATATCATACACTGAATGTTAGCTATTATTGATTGAGACTGTTAATTGATGAATTCTGAAGTCAAAGCAACTTTCTTCATATTCGAGTTTGAGTATCTTTCACCTCACTACATGCTTTGAAAAATTCTAGATTAATCTCAAATTTCAACACAATATTATGTTTCCAATTATAATAGTATCATATTCACAAGCCTTACTTTCTCTAAATAACAATAAGATTAGGAAATATACAAAGATCCTAATAGGAGAAAAAAGTGTTGGTGTTATAATAGAGTAAGGACTTATGGAGTGTAAGGTGGAGGGGGTGGAAGTACAGAGAGATCATCGAAAGGAAAGTATTGCTGAGTACCAAGTACTGGGGGAGCGTAACTTTGGTGTATGCTAGGTACATAATCGGCGTTAGGTGTGTAAGGAGGTAGAGTGGGTACTGCAGGAGTAGGCCCAACACTATGAGCTTCTAGTCCGTCCCAATCTTCCATGAGGTTTCGCCTCTGCAGATCTTCATCATTGGATAATGGAGCACCCCAGAGATTTGCTGCAGATGCCAGTAAGGCCAAAGCTCCTGAAATATATATAAAATTATTTTTATTTTAATGCCTTGTAATTAAAATTGGACATTATCTACCAACGGTGGAAATGATGTTATTGTTCATCAAAGTGAATAGTGAATGCAATAAAAATATTAATAAACATAATATGCAACGCAATGCATTTATTTGGCTAAAAGTTTGATTTACAAATGTGAAAATACAACAATATGTAAACACTGTTATATTAGAATGCCACGCCAGAGAATCCTATCATAATCATTAAGATTGTGATAGCAGTCTCTGGCATGGGCATACTTAACACCCCTACACAAACACATGTCAACTATACAGGCTATCAACAATATTAATTTTTCTTATCACGTTATGAAAATTATTTAGCAATCTAAATTCATATTTTAATATTTTGTTGCATTTCTTAATACAGTAAACGTAAACATAACAGTAAAATTGTATTGTAAAATAATGAATCAAGTTTGGTAAGCAGTTTTTTTAATGATACGAAGTTTTTTTGTTAGTTAATTTGTTAAGCAAAATTGTTGAAACAGATATAAAATAGTCTATTAAGTATATTAAGTTTAATGGTATTCTTCTTTTTCCTGTCCTTATCCCACACTAGGTGGGGTCAGCACAATATTATGTATTTTTCTTCCACTCTCGTATCAGCAGTCATTTTAAGTTTAATGGTATTGTCATTTCCAAATTGCTTAAGAGTCTATACAACCTCAAATGGGTTTGGTTGATTCCGCATAACATGTTAAATCAACCACTTTGGAAAAAATATATAGTAAAATTGAGGATGTACACTGATTACTATATGGTGTGAAAACACTTTATCTCTAAAAATTTTTACAATAGAAAAAACTCAAAGTTACCTAGGAATTTTACAAGAAATCTGCTGTATTCAACTACTTATTTTTATTTGTATTCAACTGCTGTATTCAGGTACTTTATGTATACCAATGTTTTTTTTATATCAACTGAACTGAATAGAACATGTATAGTATATTTTTCAAATGCCTTTATTTTCGTTAGTACAGGAGAATTTGAAAATTTGAATTCCATCTGAAGTACTATAGACTCTTAATACATTCTATAAAATAATTGAACATTTTAAGCATTAAACAAAAGAAAACTCACCTGCTCCAGTTATTGTGTAGAATCCGTACTCATAATCAACTTGTATTGTATTAGGATCACTATTGTTTGTATTGCCAAGGACTACAGTGGTATAATAACATACGCCCACAATAGCAATCACCCAGAAAACACACATTATGCTTGGGATAGCATTTCTTCGCAACATTTTTATTGCTTTGCTGTTAAGGCTAGTTAGGTTTATGATAACTCCGATAGAGGAGCTGAGTAGGACCATAAAGCATAGTATTATGAGTACCCTCATCAGTGTGATAATTTCTGGTGTGATGCATGGCGGCAAGCCTGTAATCAATAAACCATTCATTATAGCAGTGCAACTAGTTTGCATCACTGCTTGTGTCAATACTGCCTGCCTTCTCATAAACAAAGCATATCTGTAGCTTTTGAGATTGGTACCTTTTTTTCTTTGAAAAATGTCAATTAGGTAGGTACACTGATTTCACTTAACAATAAAACTGAAAGCAAATAAGATGTAAGAAATCGCTTATAAAGAGTTGCAGATCTTGTTTCGCTGACTCCAGATCATATGTTAACTCAATTTTGCTAAAAATGTCTATTATGTTGTTTATGATATGTATATTAATGTCATCTTAACAACAACAAACAGGCATTAACGTAAATTAAAACAAATCATTAATTATTTAAACTGTTTAGTAAATACATAGAGTTAATAATCCCAAATATTTTGGTAGTAAAAAATAATATTTTGATTAAATTTGCACATCTGAAGAGGTTCACAAAATTCCGTTTATCCGCTCAGGACATTAGAATAATAATAATAATAATAATAACGCACACACTCAACATAGCCCCGCACTAGGGAAACCCTGTGTCGCGGGTGCCATGGACAGCCACAAATTACACCCAAACTCACGAGAGAAACAAATGTAAGCCATACAAACATTTCTCCCGGCCCGGGAATCGAACCTGGGACCTCTGCGTGGCAGTCCGGCGTGGTAACCGTTCGGCCACGGAGGCAGTTAAAAAGTTACATTGAAGTATATCCATCTCTTCTTTTCTTAACAGGTGACTTTATATCCACTAGACTTATATACATAGAGCAATACAAAGAGTAAAAGCAAGATCTGTGTGGAACATTTGAGGTAATGGTTAATTTACGGTAAGATGGTGAGTACATGCAACTCATAAGGTCAATTAGTAAGTAATTACCATTGAAGTCCTGTCTTTGAGACTCATATTCGTTTTGACGTAAATTTATTTGATCTTCATCATCATCATCATCCTCATCGAAAGTAAAGAACTGTACGAGGGACAGACGCTGAGCGCAGTGCAGTCCTTTGATTCGGAACCAACTGGGTTGAACAAGAGCTGAACATGTCAGTAGAAATGTGAACACATTGAAGAATGCTGCTACCTTGTTGAACTCCTTATCTTTAAAGGCAAATGGCATTTTGAATCCTGAAAATGTATGGAACTGTTTATGTGGTTGCTTAAGAAATACAGTCAAAAATAGGTTAGAGATGAAAACCAAGTAGAAACAAACGAATAACAATTTGCCCACAAAAATGCATGTGTAAAATGTGTGTGTGTAAAAAATGTGTATGCAAATTAATGTATGTGTAGAATGAACCCATATCCAAAGATAGCTTAATACAGTACAATTAATAAGCCATTATCTTAAGAAATAACATGATTGGTGAATAAATTTATATTCTTCCAAGTGTTTTCTAAATACATGGAATTTTTGTATTGTCTGTAACTGACTTTATAAAATGGTGATAGTTTTCCTTTTTGCTCTCCTCACTTTGTCCTAATTTAACCAAATTCTCATAAGAAAATCATCATCTGTAACATTGTTTTAGGAAAGTGCTCGAAAATGAGGAAAGTAAGTTAAAAGTAAGAGTGAAACAAAAACTAAAGTTTGCTAAGGTCAAGTGATGAAAATATTCCAGACTTCCATTGATATGAAACTACACGCTGCAGGAATGTCGGTACAGCTGAGCAAGTGATCACTTATCTAGTCTCAACTTGTATAATTCCTAAAGGGCAAAAAAAAAAAAAAAAAAAAAAAAAAAGGTAATGTTTACAACAAGGTAGTTACAATTAAACTCATAATTTCTATAGGTTTGCACGATTGCTATTTTTTTGTAATACTAAGTGACTAGACAAACAAGTTGTGCATCTGGTGGTAAGCGACATGCCTACCTATAACAGTTGCAGTGCTATTCAGAACTTTAAATTGTAAAGATCTGATGGTCACTGTCACTGCATTCGTTACCCTGGGACAAATGTTAACAAATCCCACGTGCCTGTAATTTCACCAGCACCCTTATCCTTCCAAACTGGAACACAGTAATGTGAGCATTACTGCTTGGGGGGAGATAGTTACAGTTACAGTGCCACTCAGAGCTTTAAATTGCAAAGTTCTGAGGGCACTACCACTGCGCCCGTCACCTTGAGACAAGTTGACAAGTCCCATGTGCCTGTAACCCATCAAAACCGGAACACAGTAATGCTGACATTACTGCTTGGCGGCAGAAATAGGTAAGGTGGCAGTACTACCCTGGACAACTCTTTCACAAGGAACTCTACTGCTACTAAAATTGGTTAAACTAACATTGGATAAAGCCATTGAGTATATAATGAGAAACTGAGATGAAATGTTGTTTAATTTGAAAGGGGCTGCTGGTGGAGTTCTGGAAGATTGTAATGTAGATTGCAATCCACATTTTACATTAGTGGTAGCTGCTGCTGGTATCACCTGGAATGTTCTGTACGCTGCAGATCTTGCTTAGTAAGTTTGGTGGTTTAATAAATCTGGTTTTATAAAAAAATATTTTAAAGTTTATTGTGTCGTTTTAAATGTTTATAGCACAAGAAATTTTTGGAAACTAAAATGGTTAAAAAAAAATTAACAAGATGTGTTCGCTACCGCGATCGGGATGTGAATGACGATGGAACGAAACAAAATCAGAATGTGAGGCTAAGAATGGAACAATTCAAAATTTGAATTTAAATACTAGTGTGAGAATAAAATAAGAAATTTAATTAAAAAGGTGGTATGAGGTGAGATGCAAAGAGGTCATAAACATCACAAATTAGTTTAAAAACCTTTCTGCCAAATCATTACAGTGACAACTGCGCTCCAATTGGCCAGCCTTAATTCTAAATAATTGACAGGTGTCATCAATTGTTTCACTTGAAAACGACCAGTTTATCTTGAGCTTTGCTATAATGGGCGAAAATTGAAAAATTACATATTTAATATTTAATTACTGATGAAATGTTATTCCATTTGTTTTGTAAGTAGATTGTTTTGCTGTTTTTCCTACACCACCAAATGGAACAGCCCCCCATAGGGAAATTATCTTTATTACAATAAATACAGAATATTTTTAGAATATACAGAGACATACAAGGAGGTCAGTTGTTGGCACTGTACTATTTCAGCTTTCTAATTTCTGATTTCAGTGCAAATGAGAGTTGATATTTAAATGCGATACAAGGCCCATTTGCCTGATGAGTTCCCAGGGATGGATGGCCTTTATTTTGTCTCTATTTCTGGTTATATACTCGATGGATAAAGCACCAAAAATTATGTATAAACTGTACTAGAATAACTGACAATAAATGTAAAAGCCAAACCATTTAGCATTCAAGTTGATTAATACGCCTTTTAATACAGTTGGTAGTGTTGGTGCAAAATGAAAATTTTAGCACTCGTTTTAGCACACGACTTATCAAAACAAAACAGTTACTCGCACTGTAATGTAACACATCATTTAATTAAGTAGATACTTGTTTTGTAGACTGCAAAACATGACATCTACATTATAATATAAAATGTCTAAAAGGAGATTCATAGCTCAGAGGGGGGTCTTTTTACCAAGTAAATTGTAACTAACTTGTTCATGTAATAGGATGTCGTGCGTGTATATAATGTTAACGCGTATTTACGCGTTAACATTATATACCGCAACAATAAAAAGCACCGTAAAGCAAAAAGGTCACCCATCTATAATTTACATTTATTCTTATTTCGTATATGATACATTCATAAATACATGGAGATTATTAAAACGAAATGAAAACGCAACTAAAGGTAAAAAGAATGCTAAAATACTACACAAGTGCGAAAACAAATTAGTAAACTCCAAGGTTTTACGTCATACCTCTAATCCAAGTTAAACAGCCCATCCTGTGATCCTAGACATTGGGAACCACTATAAGGATTACAATAGTATACTGATATTAATAATCAGCAATAGATTACTACCACAAAATAATAATTTATATGATTATTTTCCTCCCAGAACAACACACCGTTCATAGAGTTAATTTTATCTTGACAGCAATGAAATGATTACTACCTAAAATAAGAACGTTCCGATACGAATACACAATATGCATCTAACTCTTTCTATCGCACGCAATAACCCATTAAACCATGACGTTACTTGTTGCTCACGTGAATGCATTCATGTTAATTCAAAGTAGACGCATTACCTTACGTTCCTCTAACCGCATTTACGAAAGATTGAAGCGGTCTATAGAGATGACAAAATTACAAAACTCGCGATCATTATTACAATAAGTTACAAAACCATTTAGTGAAATAAAAAAAACATATAAATTATTATTCTTCCAAATTAACGTCATTAAATAACTCACATAATTGGTAGTAGGTTTTATTAACAATTTTTGTCACGTTATTAAAGATCATAAAAACATACCGAATGATGTAGATAAATAAGTACAGGGTCAAGAGCACGTCACGCTTGTTGACACCAAAGGTTAAAATTCAACTCTATGCCGCTTGCGATAAGAACGGTCCAAAGTCCAAAGTGTCAAGCTTGATGTGGTCTGGAAAGTACCACTCTTTAAAAATTCGTCGTTGAAAATTATATAATTGTGTATAACTTGTATTAGGTACCTCTGTTTTTTGTAGTTTTCGACCGAAATTGCAATTAAACAAATTGTACGTACATACTTAGATTATCCCAATTCCGAAGCAGACAGACAGTAACAAACGAAAGGTCTTAGTTTACAAGAGAGCTCAAAAATAATTATGGATTTCATTCATCATCATTCATATCCCATAAAAATAAAATTTAAGTTTTATGTAAAAACTAGACGGAATGTCGATTCCCTATCAAAGCCCAACAGTTTCACAATTTTTGCAGAATATTGAGTAGTTTTCTCACTTAGTTTTCCCATAGACATAACATGTGCCTTGTGCCTCAATTATCTCAGATCCCAGATCGAAATTCAACATTTGGACATCGTCACGTTTTATATGTAATAACTTCAAATTTCATGAACGGTTGGGGCTAATTCCATTCGTAGATTGTACAATTTGAGGGTAGCCTGAAAAGCTTCGCTCGCTGCGTTTCGACTGCTAGCAAAAATTTCTTGACTACTTTGCTCGCCATTAACCAAGAGCCGTTTGCTCTTGTGTTTTCGACTGCCAGTGAAATGTGATATGCAGAACGTTGTATGCAGAACAATGTCAACTAAAATGAAATATTCTTTAATGCACATAAAATTACAGTTAAAATACAATACAATAGTTTAAGTATAATAGTAGTAGTAAGTCAATGTGCAATAGGAGGTCTTACTGCTATGTAGCAACTTCTTCCAGACAACCTTAGGATAAACATTTGGGATATGCAAAATATATTAAACAAATATATTTGAAAAGTAGGTGAGCGAAGTCGATAGGGTTTTATTATGAATCTTTAGATATATGTGACACGATGCGTTGCAACGCCTACGTCTGAGCGGTGTTGCTGTGTTTCTTCTGTGTTGTATATTATATTAGACCTACATACCACATGGTGCGTTGAAGCGCGTGTTGCTGCTGCGGTGGCTCTTAGGACGTTGAAATGATGGGTTGCCGCGTTTTTGCGACGAAACAACGCACCGGTAGCCCAGTGTGGCATCGCTGTTACACTTTTGTCACGTCCGTTTCTGCAACCATGAAAATAAAATTTGGATTGGTTTATATTTTTGTTCTATTAGGCACTTCGCGGTATGCGTTTGTGGAAAGTAATGAAAAGGAAAAATCATTTGTAGAAAAGATCAGGCATGTACACAGACATACAGTGGTGGTCGTATAATTAGAAACACGAAACACTACAAACGGTCCTTGACATTATGTAAGAAACTTCACCGCAATCGTTTTTATTTTGAAATTAAACAATAAATAGGACAACAATAGGTTCAACGATTTATTATTTATTAGAAAAACAATATAAATCCCCCTACACAAGTGCAGTTTCAATATTACATTACGGACAAACATTTAAATCAGTTTTAAGGTATAAATTGTATAAACAATAATGGACAACTAATTAGAAATAACAACAAAACAGTGTAAAAAAACATTTTTTTTTAAATTTTATAGCAATTAGTATTTTTATTTACGAAATAGCTACTATCCACAGCCTACCAATATTTATAATTAATATTTAGTGGCGTATCCCTTATTTTCAATAACAGCTTTGCAACGACGTGACATTGATTCAATCATAAATTTTTCTAGGGGGATTGAATTCCATGCTTCAACAAATGTTTCATATAATTTGTTTTGACTGGTGTTACGTTTGTTTGAAACTTTCTTCTTAACAATATACCACAGATTTCTATCGGGTTTAAATCCGGACTATTTGCTGGCCAGTCTAAAACGGATATACATAAACATTTCACGCTATTGGCCGTGTGTTTAGGATCATTGTCATGCTGAAAGATTCAGGTTAAAGACAAATGATCGTCCGAGTAGGGAATCATTGTGTCTTCTAAGATATTTTTGTACTGCCATTGATCCATTGTACCTTCAATCTTCCGAACGAGACCAACTCCACATCCGGAAAAACACCCCCAAACTTTAATGTTTCCGCCACCGTGCTTGACTATGCTCCTTGTGTATTTATAATTAAAAGCACTGTTTACAGGACGTCTAACATAGCGCTTTCCATCTGAATTTACCATGTTTATTTTCGTTTCATCTGAAAATAAAACTTTTTTCCAGTCTCGTACCGTCCAATTAACATATTTTTTTGCGAATAATAATCGCTTCTCTCGATGTTGTTTGGTAAGAAGCGGTACCTTTCGAGAGGTTCTTCCAAACAATTTAGCATCCACTAATCTTCGGCGTATCAGTCTTGATGAGACGTTTCTGGGGTCATCAGGCGAAAAAAAAACATTCAACAAACATCATTTTTAATCTGGTTTGAGCCTTTAAATGGGTCTTTTTAGCAACACGGACGATTAGCTTATCTTCTCTGGGAGAGGTTTTTCTTGGCCGAGCCTTTCTAAGAACATTTTCAACAGTTCCATGTGTTTTATAGTGATCAATTGCATTAATAACTTTCTTCACAGAACAATTTAAATGCTCAGCTATTCTTCTGTACGTCCACTTTTGATCTAAATGTAAATTAACAATTATTTGCCTAGTTAACGCGTCACAACTTTTATTTTTGCCCATTTTGAACAAAATTAAATTCAGATAAAATTTTGAATTGCCGCCAAATTAAAAGAAAACATCAAGAAAGAAATGTTATTCTTCAATTTCAAAAAAAGAACGAGCTTTAGATGCTTTTTTCAAATGTTTCTAATTAGACGTCCAAGCGGCCAGGAACAGAAAATATACTCGTACATTGTGTAAGAGTCATTTTATAATTAAAAGTAAGATATGTTTTATTTTTTATGCATTTAATGATTTTTATTTGAGTGGCTACATTATTGCATGATTATTTATTATTGAATTTATATATTTTTCACGAACATTTTTACGTTGAAGTTAAACTTCCTTCAATCATAAGAAGTGTTTCTAATTAAACGACCACCACTGTATATCTAGATATACGCCGCAAGTACAGCAATTTGTAAGAAAAACCAACCGTCCCACATTTTTTGTACCCACTATGACGTCACAAGTTGGCTTGTGACATCATAGTGGGTCGTAGTTTCGTCATAGTTCATGAACTACGAATTATTAGGAATATATTCCCGAAACTGACCGACATGAACTAGTTCGCCTTGCACGGTTTTAATAGTTCATCGTTCTTTTTAGTTTCGTACGAATTAGGAACTGTCTGCGTTGATAGTTCACCTGTCTTTTATTCAGTAGGAACGGTGCGAGCGGGACAAATCCATTGAGTCCAATATTAATTTGTTTTAAGTTGAACAAGAATACATAGTTACGGAATTACATAAAATTTAAAGTACGGAGGGACGCGTAACTTAGACTTTAAACTTATTACGCTCTACGAAGCAGACAGAGAAATTCCATTAGCCCCCCACCAAAGCTTTAGTTGTTTCAGAGGTGACGACAAAACGCTACGCGCTTTAATGTACTATCTCGGGTGTACAGCAGCGAACATCAGTCTTTTGTAAAACAATATTTTGCCTTTGAGAGAAGCCTCTAGATCGTAAGTGCAAACATTAGAAAAATGGCGTAATGGCAGAGTCATAAAGAAATCATAATCGCAATTTCATATTGGCCTCAATTTACTAGAACCGTCTTAAAAGCAAATTAATGCGCTTCTTGGATACCGTATTAATTATAAAATGTTGTAATTCTCGACTCTTGTTGTGCATGATGGAGGGGTGGAATGACACTCGTGAATACGCTGGGTAAAGAATAATTTTAGTTATAAAACTTTCTGCAGCATATTATACCGAATGTAATTGAGATCGCATGGGCGTCACCGACCATTGCTCAATTACCCTACAATTCTAGTCTACCTATATTTTATTTTTGTAATTTACGTTATCGTGCGCCCGACTATAATAATTAATATAATAAAGAACAAGTAGGAAAAATTTTAAGTTTATAATTTATTAAAAATGCCCAGATTTGGTGAATCTCTCATCATCATTCACATCTTTACGACAAAAACAATTGCATATTATTGATTCATCGCATTCGCACAACGTAATTATAGTATAGTATAGATTTTTACTAGGTTATAAAAACCGAATGCAAAATTCTTTGAATGGACAACGAAGAGACCATCAAACGACATTTTGCACACGAAACGAAATACTGTACCAACTTAAAATAGTGAATTTGAGAAGACACGATTTGAAAATTAAAAAAAAAACTGAGTGAAACCAATATCGACTGTGAACTGGCAATCGGTACTATCTCAATTTTTACAACTTTACAGGTGATACGTTCCTAATCGTCATCAGTCTTATCTGATAATATTGCTTATTAAAAATTACGCCGATCTACCGATACGACTATCTTGATAAAAATGATTAAAACTACTACTACTACTACTATCTTGCTTAGGAAAGTTCATATTCTTGTTAAGTTGTTACTTTCAAATACTTGAATGAAGTAGTAGTAGTAGTATTGACAGAGAATGCTAGAATATGTCTGTGGCTAGAATGAATGTGTGGCCCTAGTAGAACTGACAGATACAGGTTTGAGTCCTGTCAGATTGAAGGCATTTTTATTTGTATTCTATGTTTGTGTTAATCATTAAAATAAACTAGTACAGTAATTTCACAAAAAATAAATGAATACCGTGGTAGTAAAACATTACGATATTCAATAAAGTCAACGTTACTGAGTATTCTTTTTATTGAATTTGAACTTCTGCAATTCCATTGTATTAATGGATTCATACAATGAAATTATATTTTACCATTATTAACATTTAAGTAATACGTGATGTAACGTTGGTTAACATTTGATCTCTTATGATAAAAAACAGTAATAATTTCAATGATTGACGATTAACATTCAGATTTAGATTGTTTATTAGTAGATGTTTTGTATACCTACAGAACCATTACAAAGAGAAGAAGCCATGTTTTTGTTATATTCACTAACCTCCAGTTTGTCGAGAGGAGTATGGGATTGCAGGAAGTCTGTTTTTTTGTACGAATTAGTAGAGACTTTAGTAGTTTGTGGTTAGTTACGTAACGTAGGCTGTTGCTTTTGAGTAAATCTACAAAATATTTGGTTACTGGTGGATGTGACTTAGAGGCTTCAACAAAAGGCTTCGTCATATAGATCTTAACTTGTATTTACCTGGAAAATATAAGTAGCTGTAGAGCTCGTTGTGAAAGAGTTCGTCCAAGGAAGTACTGTCATCATACTTATTCTTGCCGCCAAGTAGTAATATGAGCATTATTACGTTTCTGTTTTGAAGGGCGTGGTTGCTGGTGAAACTACAAGCACATGGGGTTTGTTAACTTTATGTCTCAGGGTGACGGGCACAGTGGCAGTGTCGCTAAGATTACATTTGAGTGGCACTGTTACAGTTATGGATAAGCTTGTCGCTTACCACCACCCACACGACATTTTTCGCCCCATTTTTGAGTATCATAAAAAAAAAAATTCAACAGTTGTTACTAGTGAAGTGGTAACCCGAGCATAGACAACAGTAAGAAGCAGCAACCTTTTCAAATGTGCATGTGACACCACCGGTGTTATTGATGTAACATAATTACACAAGTCATAACGGTCGGCATATTGTGTCAAAATCGACAACACCTAAAACATTATACAAAGGGTTATGGACATAGGTTTACAATTCGGGCGGTATAGCACATAAAAAAAAATGTTAAGGTAGTCTGTTTAAAAAGTTACAACAATAGTTTTAGTATTCGTAAATTCAGCGTTACCTACCATAGTTTGAGAGAGAAACAAAGTTACATCAATGTAGTTATTTTCGGAAATATGTTTGGCAATACCAGGAGAACTTCAAATAGTACTGTTTCTTCATTTCTTACAATGTCTATCTCATTGCCTATATTAAAAAAATAAAATAAAAACGAATGTGAAGAATCTTCGAGTGTTCAGGTTTTCGTGATTGTTACACATTAGAAACGATACTAGTTTTTCGGATCTAAATAGCACATATTTGGTTTTATTTTTCAAAGAAACTAATGTATCGAGCTTCTCACAGGTCCCATGGTCACGGCTGATTTTTACACAACAAACATTTCAGGCCTGGTTATCTAAAGATACAATAAATACAATAAATACAAAAAGATACAATAAATACAAACACAACTCTTCTGACCCTGCATAATAACGAAATTTGGTAAACAAGAACAAATACGACCGTCAATTTAAGAAATTTTCCGCTTTTTGACGGGTGTAGTTTGTTTGCTTTAAAACAGAAAAAAAATATAAAATGTTTTAAGTCCCGTCTACGCAACGAAAGGTAAACTAAACAAAAATTATTTACAGCTTCATTCAGTAGGGTGATTTTGAACGTATCGTTTTACTTTTAGTAAAAAATGATGAAAGAGGTGTTACTGTCTTATTATAAAACATGGTCTAAATTTAGTACTAGGATTAATACTAGGTGAAGCAGAATGTAGTATAGAATAGGCTTAAAGTTTTTTCCATTCTCTAATACATCCATTGCAAAAGCATATTATAGGCGCGTCTGATACGATTTCACCTGTACTTCCGGAAACTATAAAGTTTTCCATGAGATGAAACATGAGGAATTTGTAGCTAAAATATACACGTCTTCTATTACTTATATTCTGATCGAGAGGTTGCGGTCTCAGACAAATGTTACGCAATACAAAAATAGGTAAGAATAAATTACATATTTGTTTACTTCGTTTAAACTAGTTTAGAGTCATGGAGAACTTCATACGCAGTTTTTTCACGTGTGCTTATAAAGGGTCTTTCAACAAGAACTTTGTTTTCTAAAACAAAATAAAACAAAAAATTTAGATGAAGATGATTCAAATTTTTATTGTATTACAAAGAGAAAAGTTCGGCAATTATGAATGAAAAATGATATCTGGCAAATGTCCACCACGACCACGCTGACAGAAGTCGATTCTTTCATCAAAATTTTTAATCACTTTTTGGCAAAATGTCGGGTCTATTTCGGCTATCACATCACGGATTTTGAGTTTTAAGGCTGTAGTCGATTCGATTGGCTCCGTATAGACTCTGTCCTTAAGATAGCCCCACAAAAAATAATCCAGTGGTGTTAAATCACACGATCTGGCTGGCCATTTAACAGCTGAATTTCGGGAAATTACGCGATCAGCAAATTTGGTTTGCAATAAATTGATCGTCTCATTGGCTGTGTGACATGTGGCACCGTCTTGTTGAAACCACATGTCAGTGATATCCATGTCATCAATGCTAGGCCAAAATTGAGTTGTTAACATCTCGCGATAGCGTGATCCATTCACCGTTACCGCATTTCCAGCCGAATTTTCGAAAAAAAACGGCCCAATGCCAACGGCACAAGTCACATTGCCACCGAAACAATGAATTAATTTATTGCAAACCAAATTTCCCGATAATTTCACGAAATTCAGCCGTTAAGTAGCCAGCTCGATCATATGATTTAACACCGCTGGATTATTTTTTATGGGGTTATGTTAAAGACAGAGTCTATACGGAGCCAATCGAATTGATTGCAGCCTTAAAACTCACAATTTTTGAAGTGATTAACCAAATAGACTAACCATTTTCTCAAAAAGTGATTAAAAACTTTATGGAAAGAATCGACATCTGTAACTGTGGTCGTGGTGGACATTTATCAGATATCATTTTTCATTAATAATTGCCAAACCTTACTTTTATTAATACAATAAAAATTTGAATCATTGTCATCTAAATTTATTGTTTTATTTTGATTTACAAAACAAAGTTCTTATTGAAAAACCCTATAGGACTTTCGTTCTTAAACTTGTGTTTTCGTTAAAATTTTTAGGTACGGCTTTTCTTACCTCTCCTAGGATGATATTTTATTTTTTAATAAAATCGCGTATCAACCGTTTTATTAACCTCATTCAGATAAGTAATTGGGTAGTAAAGTAAAAAAGTTAATAATATTCTTCTACTCCAGTATTTTAATATGTCAATTATAATTTCATAAATCTAGTTTAGTAGCTAGTACTATAAACAATAAAATTTTGGTTCAGGAGGTCTACCACGAAATATCTACGTGAATTCGTCATCAACGAAGCTCTTACGTACAACACAGATGTCAGTTTTTTGATGTAATGTTAAAATTTGATACGATAGCTGACATTTTTCCGTGGTATACAAATATTTAAATATTAATTCACGATCTTCGATCAATCTTTCGTGTTTTGTGGTAGACCGCCTAAACAGACCAACTAAAAAGATCATCTTTGTATAAGTATTATCTATTTTAGACTCTCGCCTATCCCAAGGCCTAAAATATTATTATTATTATTAATTATTGCAGGTGAAAGAGGACGAAGTAGGCTTTTGTTACCCACCACCACCACCGTCCACATAGACATGATGCATTTACTTGATTTCGGTCCGCAAGTGTCGCTCAAACCAGCTAACAAGCGAAAAATCAGGAAAATAATAATAATAATGTACACACTCAACATAGCCCAGCACTGGGGAAAACCTGTGTCGAGGGTGCCATGGACACACACATAGACAACCACAAATTACACCCAAACTCAAGGGAGAAATAAATGTAGGCCATACAAATAAGTCTCCCGGCCCGGGAATTGAACTTGGGACCTCTGCGTGGCAGAGGCAATTAATGGACATATTAAAGTACAGGAGTAGAAAAAATACTATTGTGTAGGATGTGAAAAAAAAAGAGTCCGAAAAAAGTAATGAAATAATAAAAAATCTGCCGCTATATGTCTTTTCTCGTGAAAGATAAATATGTACGTGTAACAAAATAGGTCAGACGTGTTTCTCTCCACATGTTGTACGTAGTTGTATTTTGTGCACAAGCCGAAAAACATAGTGCTCTTCTCTCAAGTTTTAAGAAAACTCGCTCTTGTGTTTCAGTCAGTCGCGGGCGGCTCCACAGCGTGAGTCTCTCCTTTGAAACCGACGAAAACAAACTTCAAATCGCTCAGACTCGTTGAATTATATTTTGGGACCATCGGCCGTCCATCTTTCCAATCTGCTTATTGCAGGATAAAGATCGTTTTCGGTAGATTTGCCTATACTTAACACGATTGGCAAGTGAATTTGCATTAGCTGTAAAATTGTAAAATGCTGCAATAAAGCACTGAAAGATTCTGTTGTCCATCTCCTAGACAGTAGAAGAGTAACTAAGGAGGTGCTCCTGTCGATATCCAGAAAATTGGCTTAATTAAGTGAAACAAGGATCAATAATATGGTTATAGTGCTGCCTAATCAAATTACATAATTTAGGTAGGTAACTACATTTGCTAATGAAGCACGATTCATTAACTCGTTTGGGTTTCGTAAATCGAATTCACGGATTTGTAATCGACATTACGTGATGGTTGGAGGATATTGTGTAACAAAATAGACGGTATCTACACATATCGGGTTTTTTAGAGGGATTCTGTACAGCGCCCAAATATAACCAGATCTAAACTTATAGGATTTTCCAACGTATACACGTACAACGTGTATACCGGTACATAAGTTACTACTTATTGTGTAATTTGAGGTAATTTCCGTGTGTTTATCTATAAAATTTTTCTTGTTTCAGACCAACATTGGAACAAAATAATAATAATTGAAGAGAAACTGAAATTAACAATGAATTTAACAGCTTTAAACGACTATTTGTATAACGAGTCGGATTTCTTGGAAAATTCAGTCTTCACAAAGTCAGAAGTGACCTGCGATGCTTCAAACTTTCTATACAACTCAAGTTTCGGATTTCACACTGCAATTCCCGAATGGGAGGCACTGGCCACAGTGTCAATACTGTGCACGGTAATTCTAGGTACGGTATTTGGAAACATCCTAGTAATACTAGGTGTATTTACTCATAAACCTTTAAGAATAGTACAGAACTTTTTTATAGTTTCATTAGCAGTAGCTGATTTAGCAGTTGCGGTATTGGTGATGCCGCTTAATGTTGCCTATTCCACATTTGGACGATGGCTGTGGGGTAAACATTTGTGTAAGATGTGGCTCACGTCCGATATAATGTCCTGCACTTCGTCAATTCTAAATCTCTGTGCCATAGCACTAGACAGATATTGGGCAATAACAGATCCCATAAATTATGCACATAAAAGAAGCTTAAAAAGAGTAGTTTTACAAATAGCAGGAGTATGGATTGTATCTCTTATCATAAGCTCTCCACCTTTGCTTGGCTGGAACGATTGGCCGGATGAGTTTACAACTGAAACCCCGTGTCAACTAACATCCGAGCCGAGTTACGTTGTCTATTCTTCGTTTGGATCATTTTTTATCCCATTGGTAATAATGACGATCGTTTATTACAAGATATACGCAGCGGCTAAGCAAAGATTGCGACGCCGAAATTTAGCAGCTCGGATTTATAGGAGAAGGCCAGTGATCAACGTTGAAGAAGAGAGCCAAGAGAATAAAGAAGAATCAGAAAATGAATCCGATAGTGGAGAAAGTGTAAATCAACGCCACAGAAAAACTTTCATGGACATTAAAAAGAACTTTTTCATGCCTCTTCTGTTATTAAATGATCCAATAACTCGACAGGGAATAGAATTCGATATTCAGCAGGTGACAACAGAGAGTTGCAAGAGAAAAATGGTTGGATCTATAAAGAGAATGAGCCAAAAGAAGTCAAAAAAAGAGAAACCATTGTTGGCCAGTGTTAATAAAAGCGGTGATGTGGTTCATCAGTTTATTGAGCAAAAACAAAAGATATCCTTGTCGAAGGAACGTCGGGCTGCTCGGACACTCGGAATCATAATGGGAGTCTTTGTGATTTGTTGGCTTCCATTCTTCTTAATGTACATGCTATTGCCTTTTTGTCCATGGTGTTGCCCAAGCAACAAGCTCATAAATTTCATAACGTGGTTAGGTTACGTGAACTCTACGGTTAATCCGATTATTTACACAATTTTCAACTTGGATTTTCGTAAAGCCTTTAAAAAGTTATTAGGATTTGGAGAGTGAACTTTGCGAATGTGGAACAAAATGCACTTGAGTTTAATATTTCTATATGAGTATCTATTAACAACGTAAATAAATAATAAGTCAAAGTCAAGTCAAAATCAAAGATTATTTATTCCATAGGTAAAATAAATTTACACTTGAAATCTTATTAAATGAATAACCATTTATTATCATACATGCAAATATTTACAGCCACAACCGTCCTCTGTTATTGTTTAGCTCTAACAGAAATAAAGGTTATTGGTAGACGACGTACGGGTTTCATTGTGTAGTTGTATACTGGTGAATCCACGTTAATTGTTTGTAGTCGGACGACTGAAGTGCGGTCGAGAATAAACCTTGTTAGTTGCGTCGACAACTTCAAGCGTTGACACAGCTTCTAATTGGCTCTCTACATTAAGTATTGTTACATTTTTAACTATATGTTCATTTATAAGATCTTACCTACATATTGTGACGTATCTAAATACATATCGAGTTCTTAGGTTTTCGCAATTGTTACACATAGGAAATGAAACTATTTTTCCAGATTTAAATCGCGTATATTTGTTTTTTTAAACAAACCGACGACCGAAGTCAACCGTGACCATGGGACTTGTAAAGGGCCCGAAACGTCGATTTGTTTGATAAAACAAATATACGCGACTTAAATCCAGAAAAACAGTTTCATTTCCTATATCTAAATACAGTTTAAATTCAATAGTTTTGTCGTTTGGATTGTTGTTATTATTTTTAAATAGTGTATCTGCAAACCCTAAAGTTGTGAGATAAAGAAAGAAGGCTAACAGTTATACTAATGTAATTTATACTGGGTATAGTATAAGAAGCGACCATACTTCAGCTGGTGATTGCAGTCGTAGTAACAAATAACTCAACTTTTAGATTTTTTTAATTTTATTTAAATGATTTAATTTTAATAAAATATAGAAAAGTGGTGACGTTTTTGAGCGCAGTATAATTTCAGTACTATGCACGAACGGGTTAAGAAAATGGTAAGAAAAGAAAGGAAACCAGAGCTGATGCAAGCTTGATAAAATACCATAATATTAAAGCTTTGGTATGTGATTACATCAATGAGTGAACTGTGCATAGAAAGGAGAGAATACAGGAATTTATCCAGGAAACATAGCTTTAACTTAAGAAGAAACTGACAAGTATTAACAGAGAACATTTTACACCGCCAAAATGCATTAAAAATCAAAAGTTGGATGAGTGACAAAATATACCAACTTAAGAAACAAAAAAGGTAATTGAAGCAGACTGACAGTGCAAATTAAATAGGATTTCTTTTAAAGTTTATGCAATTTCTAGCTTTCACATGCGAACAATGCATAATGATACAAATAGTACAACCTTGATAGCCTAACGGTTTGCACTGTGGGCACTGGATGAGAAGTTCCCGGGTTCGATACCGGTAGGATCAAATTAACATAATTTGTTGAATTGGTAAACTTTTCTAAATGGTTCTGATCTTGGTTTTCTATTGTAAGACAATCACCTGGTCTGAAACTAGGGAATTCTCTGTACATACTCCCCATGAGTATCAGAGCAACAGAATCCCAGAGCAGAACCAATTTACAAGTTATTTAAAAGTTCATTTCCCAAATTGGTTCTACTGGGAATCGAACCTGGGATCAAGAACGATGGAATTTATTCCGGGGCATAACTCAGAACACCCAGGCACAAATAATTTTCGAAAAGTTCACATTTAGTTTTATAGTTGATTGAGCTGATTTTTTACGGTTTTTAAAAAAAATCTCGAATAACTCGAGAAATCGGGTGCGAGAATTCTCGAAACTCAAGAAAAAAGTCAAGACACGCTCGTTCGTAATAAATGACATTGTATAAAATTCAACATTTACGTACAAAATATATTTATAAATAATAAAGGCTACTCCATTATACATGTGTTCAAGTAGTTTTCACTAGAAGCTACATAACGTGCATTTTGGTAAATTTCCAGTAGAAGCTGAATATGGTGTTTTTTTGCGCCTTTCAATTGTTGCAAGCAAAATTAGGCAATACTGTAATGACATTACAATTTAAATTCAACGTTTTAGCTTTTCATATTCCTTTACATGTCACTACGTTTAAATAGGTTGACTTGGGATATTTTTTCGTGGTTTTTGTATTAGACCCGTCGTCCATTTATTTGTAAGTCAATAATTTACACACATTAAATTAAATCAGTTTATGGAGCTTTTCACTATCTATATTTATTTCTGTATCTCAGTTACAATACATACAATTATGAGTTAGTCATCCTTGCTGATCGCGAGTATGTTCAGCAAATGCGTCAAAAAAGAGGTAGTACAAACGTTATTTGAATTTAAAATTGCAAAATAGACGTGCGGATATAGACAGCACCCATAAGCGTATGGGTAAGCTACCACCTAGCTAGTTAGTGCCACATAATCCTTGAGGCTTTGTATTCATAAAGCATTCCCCCGTAAAACAAAAAAAGCTAAAGCCTAAAGCTGCTTGTTGCTTTAGGTTTATTTTCAATTTGTTAATATCTGGCAAAGATTTGAATTTTATGTTTTGATTACTTACTTTTGACTGTGTAAGGCAATATCTAACAATAACCAAAAAACTTTAGGTAGCCACTACATAATCTTTATATAGTGCTCAACTAACTCCCTGGCGCATATCTTACATTTCAAAGACTTCTGGATAATGTTACTGGTTGACCTACCAGAATGACCTGCTAATTATCACTATCAATCATCACCCATTGTAGCAGCTGGATGACGACACTCCAGCGCGACACCGCCATGTGATGAATTGCTTCAGGTATCACTCAAATTATTCGTATCATTCAAGTGTTAAATTAATTAGTTCATTACCAATATACTTCTCTAATGTTGTAATTAATGTTTATTTTTGTTGTTGACTACTTTTCTGCTACTTAAGTTAGGAACGCCTAGGTAGTTAATGGTGCTAGTTCTATAGTTCCAGTTAAAATGTGGTATGTTCTATGTAACTTGTTTGACTAAATAATTATTTGAAAGTTCCATTACAGTTGCGATACACTTTGTAAATATACAAGCACTTTAAAATGGTTTCAACATTTAGTTGCTATTTTGCTGTGTCTTAGGATGTATGCAGTAACAGTCAAACTTTGAAATAAAAGTACAAAACTAAAAGCAGATTATAAGTATTATAACAGAAAAAAACCTTAATCTACACGTCTACACATGTAAAAAAAATAATACACGTATCAAAAATTCAATGAAATACAAGAATAACGTTGTACTACATGTTAAAATTACACAAATCACAGACATATATCTAGATAGACGCCGCAAGTACAGCAATTTGTAAGAAAACCAAGCGTGCCACATTGTTTTATACCCACTGTGACGTCACAAGAACTATTTAGTGATGGGAAACCTCCTTCCGCTCTAAATCGATTGATTGAACGAAATACGCGTATTCCATTCAATTAATCGATTCTAAATAGAATAATTTTTGTTCAAGTATTTGTTGATTACAAGTAGTCGTAATACAAATATAGTAAAAAAATACTAGAGTAAGATATTAATGTCCTTTATTAAATCTTACTTTTAAAACATGTTGGTTACTTAAAAAAATTAATACTTTAATTTTTAATCGATTTCAATATTAAAATTATTGTCCTTCCAATAAAATGACCTTATCATATAACATCTTTTTATAATAGAAGATCTTATTGATTAACTTAAATAATGAAAACGCACGTCAGTATATGAACCTGCGACTGCCTTAATTAATTTTACTAGATGGTTTTCTGTTGGTAATTGGTCAAATTGATGAATGGCAAGACAACTGAAAATGTTACTGCTGACAAAATATGGTAAAATCTTAATAATCAGAAGAGGTTTAGTTGAGTTGAATGACGGCCTCGTGTGAAATGTTTGTGATTTGTTTATTATTTTTTGGATTTCTAACTCTGCTACTCTGCATATGTGGATAGTAACTTAGGTGGGATAAACTAGACCGCCCTCGTCCTTGAAAGCAACGAACTCATACGTATGACCAGGGCACTGTTACATTCTTCGCATTTTTTTTTTGTATTACTCGTACTACATATCCGGCGATGTATATAATTATTTGCTCACTATATTCGGACATTCGTGGCAACGTGCTGCAAAAATTATCGAAATTCTGTAATTTCGAGTATCTATTATCAGTAGTATCTGTGTATTACTGATAATGGATACTACAAAACTGAAAAAAAACGCAACGTTACTAACTGTTGTAACAAGAAAGTTAGAAACAAGAAAGAAAGATAGAATATTTTTATAATACTGCTAAGGTCATAATAATTTTCGTCCCTTTGTTTTCAAAATCGATCTGAATCGAAAACAGTGTCGCCTAACGTATACATCACTAAATGTTAAATTTGGCCAAAAAAATTTACAAGCGGCCGTACCACGAAACTGAATGCATTATACAAAAGTGCGTTCGTTCGATATTCACTAAAAGTCGCAATGTATTTAGTACAAATCATGAGGTATACACTCGGTTGCATATTTGTTTTCTCGAAATTCATACGAAATAAAAACAATTGTTTTTAAAATACATACATCTCCTGATTTTTTTTATTTTTTTTAATAATAAAAAGATTTATTGCTTCAATAACGATACAAGAACATAATGTATAAAAATCTTATATAGAGATCTGAGGCAAAAGGCAATGGCTCAGCTTTTTATTGGTTCAGCTCCGTAAGCCTTGCTCAACACTGGTTTTCAGCCATTCCCCCTTTCCCTGAGATCTAGAATGGGACATACTGTAATAGGAGGAGGTATAGCAATTAAAAGAAAAAAGTTATATACAATACTAAACAATATCAAATTAAAAAAATGGTGTATATTAGTGGCATGTGTATGTGTGCGTGTATGTGTTTGTGTGTGTCTCAGGGTCGTATTCTAGAACTCTACTCAATGCTCAAGTCAGGATTGCACTGGAAACACAAGTACTTCCAGAAATATGACCCTAATGGCAGGGACTTGAGTAT